CGTTACCGCGCGTTCGTGCTGACGAACGCGCATTAACGGCGTTTTGCGTTCGATCGGCGAACGAGTTCCTATAACGAAAGGAAAGTAATTAATGGACCGGCATTTGTTTGGCCGCGGTAGCCGCATCGGTGATCTCGCCATTCCCGCCCAAGTGACCCGCGGCCCCCGGTCCCGTACTAGCTGCCGGAACAACCGGACCCACCTCCGCACAAACTCATCATACGCCTCATCATCCGCCTCCAGTCAGCGGCGCGACGGCCGCGGGACATCCGCATTCTGCCACCGCCGGCAGACAACCCTAGGATCAAGTCGACGGAGAGTACCGCTAATTCGAGCCTGCTACCTCTTCTTCGATATCGCTCTCGCTCTCTCGCTCGCTCGCCGTTCGATCTTCGATGACCAATCTCTACCAGCCTGTACACCGATTCGATTTGTCGCTCTAGCGACGGACCATTATCCTCGTGTATTGGCCGGTTGTCGGATACTCGTCGCCACCGCCATCGCCGTTTACGCGATTTCTTTCGCACCTCCGTTCTCCGATAGGGGTTCGCCTGTCTCTCGGATCATCCTCGATCTCGTCGTTCCGCGTGTGCCTCGTGTTCCGAGAAAACGGCGTCGTTTTCGTTGCCACGACGCTTCGATTCGAATGCCATCCGTTCTTTTCGACCGACCGACTCGACACGAATCAAATTTTATTTCTCGACTACTCGCTCTCGCAATTGCACGCGCGACAAACTAGATTTTTCAAATCGAATCGAATCTAAAAGACTGCCTATCGAGATTGTTACGTTCTTTTATTTTGCGACGGACTTTGACGAACCATCAGCCACGATGATTAAAGGGTCGAACTTTGCGAAACCATCGACGACGGTTTGTCGCGTTCAACGAAATCTAGATGTATTTAGTGCAAAGGAAAACGTAGTTTTAACGAGCAAAAACAGAGACACGATCGACGTGACTGCGGTGTCAGACGCGACGATAACTCGCAGCGATCGTCGATTCGTTGATGCGAATTCACAAACGGTGGCTCGCGTCGGTTCGACGCGTCGTGCTCTCGTTACGCTAGTTGAAATTCGCACCGATGTTAACGTATTCGTCGATTCGCGAACAAACGGAAACAGTTCCGTGCGAGGTGTACGAATCCGCTGCTCGAACGAGCCGTGCGAACAACGTTGTGCATAGCGAGATCTCGTTACGTTAAGCTGACTGATTCCTTTGGTGGTGGTGGCTGTGGCGGTGGCGGTGATGGTGATGGTAGTGGTAGAGGGAGAGAAAGGAGACGATCATAGTAAATTCTTCGTATCGTGAACACGTAGTTTAATGAAAATACGAAGCTTCGATGTAACTGCGAACCAATTCGATTTTTCTCCGATACGAGAGAGCGTGCCTCCAACCGATCGCGACCGCGCACTCGTACTAGTATCGAAGCGGAACAACATTTTTATTATCGCACGTAGAAGACCGTAGAAAAGCATGCGCGAAAGTTAAAGGAGAATTTACGGACGTCTACGCGTGTGCGTGTGCATCCGCATACTCGCGCACACGTGTACTCGTATCGCGTATTTCGCGTGATTCGTTTCGTACGTGACGTATGCGAATACGTTCGACCGAGAACGTTGTGTATAACGGTGAAATAATAGATCGTTGTATTTTATTGTATAAAGAAGATTGCTAATCCGCAGACACATTTTTCTAGAAAACAATTCCATTAATTCGCGAGCGACACGATTCTTAGACGATTTGATTACCGATTATCGATTAAGGAATATATAATATCGGTGATTATATCAAGAAAAAGGAAGAAAAAAAAAAAAACGAAAAAAGAAAAAACACGAAGATACCTGTCACATAGGGTCGTGTACGAACGAGAAAAGAAGTCGTAACGATAAAGCGATGATAAGTGATGATTGTACATTGAATACGCTAGAACGCTATTTGTTTACTAAAATAATAGTAGTTAATGTGGTGCGAATATTAGTAAGGTGCAAGCGAGGAAGAATTTTTTGTGCACGTGAGTGTGTCGTGTGCGTGCGCGTACGCGTGTATGTATGCGAGAAGAGAGAAAGAGTGTGAGAGAGAGAGAAAGGGAGAGAGAGAGAAGCAAATGAGACAGATAAGACTAATTAACGAAAAAGGGAAAAGCTACTAGGATATACATATATGCGCCACGGTGGTACATGCACGCATAGTATCCTGGCGATTACCTAACGTTAATTCAGTAACGATTATTATCATTGTATCTTTTATTACGATTATTCATTAGTAATTATTGGTTCCATTATTTTATTATCGCAGCGTTGCTAAGAGACATGAAAGCGTTGTACGAACGATTGGTAAAATGTGTTGCCAAGAATCGAAAAATAGTTTTATCGTGCCCTGCATAGTGTTGCAAAATGCCAAATAAAGTAAAAGAGAGCAAGGCGTGTTTTTTAATTCGAACGTAACTAATGGCGATATCCGTTTAATCAGAAACAACGGAAAATGAAAAAAAAATTGTCGTCTCAGTTTTAATGAGACGCATTCGGAGAAGGAGATTTGGGCGGGCTTTACACAATAAATGCTGGTGCTGTGCTGTGATTTTTATAAAAACAAACAAGAAACGAAAAGGCGATAAAAATCGATCGATAAAAGAAAGTAGGGAGAGAGAGAGAGAGAGAGAGAGATTGAAAGAGAGAACGGGGGTAAGAGGGAGAAACGTGGAAAATCTTGACGAATTTTTATGAAAATATACAGATAGCCTAAGTACCTGGACCTGCCCTGCGCTCTACACGAAACGTAACGCGAATAGAACGATGAACGAAGAGAACTAAGAAAGAAACATGGAAAATGAACTTGTACGAATTGTGTATAGACTGTAAAGTATATTTACTTTTAAACAGAAATTTAATATAGATCGTTAAACTTTAATCACGCGAGGAAAGGAACTGTCTCCAATCGTTGAGTATTCGCGAATTCTCGCGCGAAAGTATTCTCTTTTGTTTTCCTTTTTGCCGACAGTAATTTTAACGATGTATCAGGAACGGGAACGTTTTCATCCAAGCTTTTATCCCTGTATTCGTTTCACCGGCTTCTCTTCACTCGTCCAATCGTTGTTATGCTTCTTAAGAGGTTCTTCGACTCCCTGTTAGCGTAAACGAGAAAAAAAAAAACGAATCTAATTAGTAGCAATTGGAGACAACCTCCTACTAAGATTATATTCTAGCAAGTATTTGCCACGACGTTGCATAATCCATTGCAAAAATCCTCGAACGAGTAAATTAAACGACAACGTAAAACGGACTGAACTATAACGTAACGTAACGTAACGTAATAAACAAGGACCCGTATTCTCGTCTCCTTTTTTTTAGAATGATAAAAATAGTGAGTCGTTGCGCTTTATATATTATACACTTCGAATATATGGATATACGAGTAACATTACGTACAGAAGCAAATACAGAAATGCAGGCATCTTGTCGTTAAATTGTAAGATATTGTGTTCAAACTCCAGAATGTACTCCGATCCCTTCCTCAGACTATTATATATTAAATATATTGTGCACTATGCTCCAACTTGTCCATACGAATAAATATACTGAAAAATCTGATTATACAGTATCCTCGATCGTTACTGTTATCCTTTGACGAGATTCTAGTTGCCTAACGTGTCTATCAATCCGTTATCGTTCAATTTTTTGGAACATTATATTCTTCGTTTTTTCATTTTACATTCAATCTTTATAAGTTATCGAAAACCTCTGTTTGTATCAAACGAGAAGAATATACGCTTACCGCGCAGCCACATGTTTGTGTGCATACATTTGTATCGTACTTGCACATATCATATAAATATGTTACCATTTCTGACAGTTATTAATTCTACGAACATGATTTGTTCGTTTTTAAATTATCGAACATGTGATGCATCGATCAAGTGCGGGTATCGCTATACATGAGTATGGTTATAACGAATGAGATTTATATTTTACAGATACGTTACAGTTTATAGGTTATGTTTTATAACCTAAATTACTTGTATTCGTATCGCGTTAAAGATTACGTTGGATCGAAGTATGTAATAACAGAAATTCTGTACGTAATGAAACATAGACTTACTCGTGCGCTTTGTTTGATTAAGAAAAACATTCCGAGTTAATACGTAAAAGAATTACGAATAAAATTTATTATTTCCTACGTAACATGGATGAAATAGATTACAAGTTAGAATCAACAAACCCTGTTTTGATATCGCACGTGAGTTATTCGGCTTTCGTAAAAGTCAACGATTTGTTATTATCGCATGACTTTTTTTATATTTTATTTTTTCAGGCAATATCTAAGCTTTTCGATTGTATTAAGAAAAAAAAGAATGATCAACAGACGGATCATGTTTCAAAGGTAAAACAAATGTTATATCTTCAATTACTATATGTTCATTTATATCGATCTGTATTTCTGCACTTAATTGTATCAATATTAATAGACGGATGAATTTAAATTATTATTAATGAAACGAGACAGCACGGATACTGTACTTAGTATATCTGCTTGTCACGGCTTAATTGCTCTAGTCGAAAATGGATTATGGGATATTAGCGAAGCTTTGGCTACCTTTACATCGAGTCTTTCCTCTATAAGGTGTGTATGTAAACCTATATTTCTTACCCTGTTCGATTTCTTTGCTATATTAAAAATATATTGTAGAAATCATACGGTTTCTGCCACTGTCATAAGTCGCTTATTAATATTGGATCTCAAGTATGATAAAGAAAACAAAAGCATGCACCCGTTCACTCTACATGTCCCACAGCACCCATTTATAATGATATTAACACAAGATAAACGTAGCTGGCAGACAGTGTTCAATCAGTTAACGTTTATTATGAATCATCAGGATCCTCGGTATGTACAAAAATTTGTATATGCATCTTATATATTTGTATCTCCTCCTATGTACAGATAGATACTTGAAGTTTAAATGTTTCAGAGTTAAAGAAAACTGTATAGAAACTTTGCGTCCTGTATTCTTATATGTTTTATGTAATCCTTCTGTGGATTCTATAGATTGCTCTATGCAGCAAGCTTGGCAGCTTTTAATAAAATCCAAGCATAGTATATGTTTGCAAACTGAAATTTTACTGTGGTTGTGTACGAATGATACTCGCTCCTGTATAAATACAAACTATAGAATTTTAGAGCTTGCAGAGAAAGCTTTGTTCGAGAAAAATAAAGAGTACTGTACAGCTCTATTACCGATGATCGCATCTTTGACTATACAATTGCTGAAATACGGGTTTGACCCAAAACCAAATTTCAGCCTTATGTTTGGTATCATGAATCATTGTGATAGCTGTATAGGGAACCTTATGTTAGTACTAATGGCGGAAATAATAGTTTCTTGTCCAGCTATTTACTTGTTAAATGCTTTGCAAACATGTACGTACATCTTTTATACGTAAAAAACATTTAACGTGCGTATCGATTTTATATATTGTTTATTACGTTATTTTACAGGTGTACTAATAACGGGTAAAATGATTTGCAACGATATGTTTTTAAATGTATTATTGGCATCTATTTTAAAATGGATGGCATATCCATCCATACTGTGTTCAGATGCATTGGACGTAGCAAAAGATTTAATACAAACGATGTTTGCTAAAACAAAGTCTACAGATAACAACGGCGCGACATTTTCAAGCAAAATATTTACAATATTTACTTATTCCGATTCGTACTTACAATTTTACACCGAAATCATAGATCGCCTAACTGTTTGGGAACTGAACGATATTGTGTTATGGTTAAAGAATATGTTAGATGTACCGTTCGATTTGAAGGATAAATGTAAATTATTAGTATCTAGTATTCTATTGCAAACAAACGACCCACAGGTGACCGAATTATGTTGCAATATACTCATCGACGTTACGAAAGAAAAGAAAGATTTTGGATCGCATGTATTGTCATTGGTATTGCATAAATTAACAAAATCTAAAAGTAATTTACAATCCAAATGTTTACTACTCGTTGTACCAGAACTTGTAGTTACCAAAGGAAATATTCCAATCATTGCTCATACATTAGATTCTTTACTGAGTGGTGGGAAACAGCTGAAATACTTCACTATCGAATTGTACTTAAAAACGTTAAAGAAAGAACCAAGATGTCACAGATTTCTGTCGACCGCAATAATTCGACTAATAAAAAGTGATCTGTCCTGGTATTCGGATGCAACTTGTACAAGAGCTATGAAATATATATGTGAGAATTATCCTGAACACGGAGAAAAACTGGTACCGTTAATATCGCAAATATTAAATCGTTCTACGGGTATGAATGGTGCAACTGCAAGCGCACTTGCACTCGAATGCATTTCTGCTCTTTGTAAAGCATCGATAACGGATATTTGTTCAACTTGGAAAGTGCTGGCTCCTAAAATGGAGAAAGAAAAACGACCTATTGTTTTGAAAAGTTTGTGCGAAATGTTCGGTGATATCGCATCGTATCCATCGTCTCAGTACGTTGAAGAATACGATGAACTGATTAACGGCTTTGTGTCGAAACTATGGAAATACGCTATGCATAACGACATCATAGTTATCGAAGCTGCGCTTAACGCACTGGCATCGTATCGTCTCGAGCAAATTCCCTTAAAGTCGTTACCGGAAGAGTTTAAAAACGATCTCGTAGTACCAGCGGCATATGCAAAAACGCCAATTGATGCAGCTAAGAAACCAGAAGATGTACTTCCGTACATACCCGGTACTTGTTGGATTCAAATGCTTCAAAGAATAAATAAAATGGCTCTGTCAGCAGCTGGGAACCTTTTAATTTCTTTCGTGATCGATGAAGTTAATGGTTTTCGTTCGGGAATGTACGTGTGGCCCCAAGGTGAACCAAACAATTTCAAGTACCTGCCAGAAAAGAGCGTGATAAGAGCCGTCGGTGAATATTTGAGACGTTGCAATAAATCCGATCCCGCTAATCATCGTACGATTATAGAATGCTTGCGAATATTTGCTCATGAATATCCAAAACCACTGCCCAATGTAAATTGGAATTTCCTTAAAGACATCATCGATATATCGCTCGAAGCCGAAAAATATGCTCTCTCTATCGCGTGTCGTCATGCAACGATATCTTTGTCTGCCAAATCCTTTGCAGAAAATTATCTGCAAACTTACAAGACTATGGACGATTCGAATTTGATCTTTAAAAGCAACGAGTACGCTATACTGTATTCGCATCTCCAAAATTTATGTCAAGCGACACAATCAAATATCCTTAAACCGTTTTTAGAAATCACACTGGAGCATGTAATCGAGAAAATGAGTATCGAGGATAAAGATTCGACACGACTGTTTCAGTCAATTATGTTCTCGTACGCGCAGGCATTGAGAAATCAAGAAGCATACGATGCCAACTCTACGTTGATTTCTACTTTATTGGAAAAGCTCTTAGATAAAATAGACTTAACGCGTAATCACTTTGAGCCTTATTTTGCAGCAGCTTTGGAATTGTCGATAACGCATTTGGAACGAATGACGTCTCCTAAAGTGTGGTGGGAAGTAACAGGTAGTAAATTGAAAAATGCCATTGCAATTAGAGCTGAATTAGCACTGAACAAGAATTCCGAATCACCTTTAACGTGGCTGAACGAAATTATCGATGATGTTGCATCGTTACCTAGGTAAAATTATCACTTGATCTTATAATTTCATTCTCAAATTACATAAATAATTTATCTTTAATATGTTTTGTTAAAGCATACAAACTTATTTTCTTGAAATTATGCAAAAAGTGCAAGCCAAAATGAGATTTAGAAAGTCCAGTATAAATTGGGTTATCGATTTTATGACTCAGATACAAGAGCTTCTGATAGAATCTCAAAATCATTCTGACAAAGTACAATTTTATTGTGATATTTTATTCGTCTCTGTCGCGAGTTTGTCTGGCATAAATGATATGCTAATGAAACGAGACCTATTAATTTCATCGCGCAATGAGCGACTCGAATTGTTTCCTCACGCTCTAGCGGTTCTTTTGCATAAACAGGACTGGAAAAACGCAGTTCCACAGGTATTTACAATTACTTTAATTAATATAATATTGTAATAGTTAACTGATTTTTCGTTAAAAATGGATCGTAAACTTATTAACAAATTTGTTATTACACGTTTTAGATTATGGAGTGGTTAAATTATATGAGAACAAGCCCTATTTCTAATACCTGTAAATTCACGTTTCACCGATCGTTAATTTGTTTAAGAAATAACGCATATTATAAAGAAACGTGGACTAAGTATCTATCTATTAAGACTGAGATCAATGTTTGATTGTAAGTTGTACCTAGTAAAATCCTATCAATTTTTCTAATAAATGATCTGTTCAATTTTAACATAAAAAAAGTCATTGTCTTCGCGCATAGCACATGCTATATATACTGTATATAAAAAGTTGACTTACTTGCAATTCCATGTGACATGAAATTTGTCAATGAACGAGCATTTCGTCACATATGTTGTATGTGACGGGTTTCATAATGCTAAACAGATGTTTCACTGTTATCTAGAGTCATGACTGTTAATGTATTTGGTCGTGATCCAGTTAATATTTGATCCTCTGGTAATTTCATTCTAGGTTCTAACACATTCCGTTTAGTTTCAACATTCTTTTTTATAGGTGTACGACTTGGACTAGATTTTCTACTACTTGGATATGATTTTAGTAAACGGGCACTGAACAGACAAATAAATTCAAATTCTGATTTGTTCAATTTCACTTAAAATTTAGGACAATTATACTTACGCATCCATTAATTTGAGAAACAACCTTGTGTATACTTGATACTCTTCATCTCCAAATTCTGTTGGATCATGACGCGCGTGTTCATACAAATCGCAAAACTGATGTATTAATCGTTGTCCAGTTCCATTTAATGGAGTGGCTAATGTAGCAAGCAAATATGCTCGCAAATTTTCAGATGGATGCCTTTTTAAACAACTGTCATACTTAGTAATTTCAGCTTCTATAAATAAAATGCATTAAGAAATAATTTCTATTTTAATTTTAAGTCTAATACAATGGATTTACAATTACCTAAAATTTTAACATCGTCCACAGCTTTTAGTCTATAATAATGAGGTGGAACTTGTCCTCGGGGTGTTACGATAAACCGAGGATCACTAATGAGTTGTGGTTCATACTGAATTCTTGGAATTACTTCTATTCTTCTTTCAATTTCCTTCTTAAGAGACTAAATGCATACAAATATATATTAGAATTATAACATTGTCATCGAAGATAAGAAACAAGATACACATATAAATTATAAGCAATTGTCACTTAACCTTTAAAAACATTCATACCTTACGCGCATCATGCCCTATTGGAATATGAGGACCACGACGAGATCTTAATGCAAATCTCATAATTTGTCGTTTCGCAAAAATAAACAATAATAATATTGTTAATACCCCAGCCGCAATGAATATTACTATTGTTACGCCAGAGAGTTCTTCTGTCATGTTTACAAAGTATATATCTACAGATATACTGCTCACACGCGTAAATATCTAGCGTGAATTGGTTTAGTATTTTTATTATTTTTAAAAGTATAAAAAATAAGGTACATCTTGTAATAACGTAAAATTTCTTTATTGTATTTTTTTCAGCTATAAAATACGTAAGTGCTTTTGAAATTTATACAGTGATTGATTATTGAAATCTTTCTTTTTTATTTTCGATTTAATAATCGCATGTACTACTTTTACGCATTATTTTAAATATTATTTTTTGTAAATAAATATAAAAACACCCATAAAAAATACATTGAAAAATTTAAAAAACGATCTAAAATTGTGATAATGAACACAATCATGAAGTGTTTTATTATCAACATTGAACTATATACTACATAGAATTCAACATATTTTGTATAGGATTTTTAAATAATGTTTGGTTTATATTGGCTATTTCCCGTAATAAATGTTTTTGCTGATCTGAAAAGTTTGCATTAATTTTTATAAATGATAAAATAAGCTTTCCAAAATCTTTATTTTTAGCAAAATCAAAGGCTTTTTCTGATAATAGCTGAATAAGTTTATCATTTGTGGTGATGTCTGTTTTGGTTGATATTAAACTATGTAATATAGAAAGATGCCATGCTTTGAGTTCTTTCACATGTGCCAGATATTCTCTATAAAAATAGTAACAAATTGTATAAACAAAAATAATAGATTAATAATATACTATGTTACATTAAAATTTAATTGAATACTTACCTAATAAGAGAAATATTTCTTTCTGGTTCAAAAGCATTTATAATAGCATTGACAATTGTTGTATCCTTCAAGTCAACATTTAATAGTGGAATAAAAATTAACTTTTCAATATCATTTGGAAATTTTTTAACTTGCTCACTAATAACAGATACTAGTAATCTTGAAGGTTTATCTAAGGCAATTATCTATAATAAGAATTAATAAATATTCATTCTGTTTTTTATGCAAATATATCAATAGTAAAATAGTTACTTGAGAAGATCACCTTTGGCAATAACAAATGTTTATGAAAAATTGTTGCATATTTTATTTGTTGTTCCAAAGTCATATTATTTAGGGAACAGCACAGATTATATGTGCCTAACATACTTAATTTTTTTTCTAATTCACATACTATTTCTAATAATTCTTCATCTGTCAAACTGTCTAATTGACTTAAATCTAATTTTCCATTAGGACCTTCTAATCCTTCAAAAAGGCATTCCAAGATATCAAACTTCTTTATACGTTCCTGTTTATTCTCTTTCTCACAACTCTTATCAACTTGTGTAAAATAAAACTGAGTAGATGTAAATTCATTATATGGCTTGGACAAAGTATTGTTTACATTTCTTTCATTTAAAACTTCTTCTTCAGCTACATTTTCTTCTTTGAATACATCATCTTCTTCTTCTTCTTCTTGGCCCCCTTCTCCTTCTTCCTTTTCTTCGTCTGTTTCCTTTTTAATAACATTTTATTAAATATCTTAAATTTGATATTTATTAAAAATACCAACCTTTCCTATTATAATTTGCCATAAAGGATCACTTTTTGATGTATCTTCTCTCAGTTTTTCTTTTATTACATCTAATCTTTCCATAGTATACTGAGATAATATATAATTCTTTAAAATATTTCTGGGATACATGATTTTAGAAGGATTAACTAAAAAAATGTATAAATTATGTATACATTATTAATAAGTAACAGGGTCTTGATTAAATTTTCAACATTCAATATTTTTCTGCATATTGCATATTTTATGCGTTTGTCAATTTAATGTTTGTTTGAAGTGTGTCATACGCGCTGTTATCTCAGTTATTAATAAAAGAATACGTGTTAAGTACATAGTATCGACTTGCAACTCAGAGGTTAAGCTACTATCGGAAACCTGTTGCGTCTAGATCTTTTATATGTACTCGTATCGAAGTATTTACCTATACGCGCGTATAGGTACGTCCATTTTAAATTTCATAAATATGTTTTAAGTTAAAGCAGTAATAACACTTTTTTGCCTAACAATTACAGATTCTGTGTAGAATATATGCATTATTCGTTATCGTGTTGTTTTAAAAAAAGAAAGACCGGTTTTGTTTCTGAAAAACCCAGAGCAATACGAGGTCATGGTATATTAACTATACATATACTGTATACTGCATTCGGATGAACGTAGTAGCTGCCATAGAATTTATTCTGCTTGTATTTAGTTTGTAACTCTGTTAGTGACAAAATACACGATAATGCGTAATTGTGTGTTTAGACTTAAATATTACAGGCGTCGTTGATACGACATGCAGTGTAATTATTAAGAAATTAAAACTTCATTAAATATCGAAAATTTCAAGTCCGTTATCACAGCTGTCACATATTTTCAAGAAAAACTTGATATATGAATAACTATACTTACTGAGGAAACGCTTCAAATGGTATATTGAGTATACATGCATATATTAGTGCTGAATGTAATGTTAAGATAAGGTAAGTGTCTTTTCTCATCTGATTTATTTCTTTACACAATACGAAAAATTCAAGTAAACTTAAATATACAATTATTAAAGTAATACAGTCTTATAAAAAAGAAATTAAGAAAAATAGGATAATTTTTGTAACTATATGTAAGTTGTTTATTTTCTCTTCCTACGAGATGAAACAAATCTTTTGATAAAAAAAACTTCCAATACAGATCTTGGAGAAAATGTCGATACTATCGGTATTATCTCGTCGATTTAGTATGTTAACAACAGATGCAAAACCCGATCCACCGCGGATAGAAATCAGTGGGTATACACATAATCTAAATTCGAATACAGAGAATGAGAAAATAAAAACAAAATCAAGATTTGCTCATGTTGCTTCAAAAGAGCAGTTTGAAGAAAATAATGTAACATCATCGGAAAAACAGAAATCTGTATTAAATGGTTCGATACCAACAAATACTAATTCTTCCTCCACTAAACAAAACTTCGACGACGCAAACAATTCCGCGACTAACGAAAATCAACATAAAGGACCAAATATTAAAACAAAAAAGAAATCAAAACAATATAAATACTGCAAGTACAATTTATTTCTATTATTTTTAACTGGTGATTTATTACTTTGATGTAATTCATGTTTAAATGTTATTTCCTATTTTACAGCACAAGGTACAAATGTTGTAAATTACAATATAATTAATTCGAATGGTGTGAAAATTGGTCCCAAAACCAGTTATATTTGCAATATTAATCAATTTCCTATGAATAATGCAGAAATGTCAGATGAAAAATGGTCGAAACCAGAAATTAGACAAATGCCAATCGAAGTTAAACATCTGTGTTCTTCTACCAAAGAAATTACTTTAGAGGATATATTTACTATTAAAACATACATAGGACGCAATTGGAGGGATGTTGCCAGGAAATTGTTATATACAGATGGCCAAATTGATCAGTTTGAAGAAAATTATAGATTCAAAGGAATAGGCGAAGTAAATTAAGTTACTATTTGTCAGACATATTAGTTTTTATTATTTGATTGTGCTGTGTATTACATGTTATCTTATGTAATAATTTCCTTTCTAGATAGTATATCAAATATTTCTTGATTGGAAACAAGCAAATACTAAAGATGCAGAAATTGGTAAGTTAATAAAGGTATTATGGGCTTGTCGAGAATATGATTGCGCTGTACAACTTGTATCTGCTCACAAAAATTTGGAGTAACTGTACCATACCATATACATCCTTAATAATTTAGCTGAATATAATTATATTCAAATAGCAATTTGTACAGTTTATTATAACTCTTAATCATTGAACAAAACACTATTGCTACTTATATCAGAGTAGTAGAATTTAATGGAATATAATATATTTTACATACGAAGAGTTATTTTATTATATAAATGTTATTAGTAAACTAATTTTTAATTAGTATATATTTTTTATTACTGCACAGAATAACATATTGTATAGTTATAAATATGTATGCACATTATAAAAAATAATTTTTTATGTACGATATTAAATTTATACATATACATTATTCATTAAATGAATGTTCAATTCTTTTTCTTATTTTTATTCCCTAATTAGCATTAAATTTGTCATCATTACAATACTATTATAAATGTACATTAGACAGTCATATGATTATACACACAAAGCATACAAAGTAAACAAGTATACAAAATTAAATTATGTGTACTGAATTTGATATACAAAAAAATAATTCACAGAATCTTGTTGAGTAACACTGTACTTATCATTTTTATACACCTACTGCAACTTATGTTATAGACTTTGTCGGTGATAACGCAATTACATTTTTTGCTTCATTTTTCACTGCCTTACCAAAAATCTGCTTTGTACAATTTTCAAACTCTACTAACATTCCTTCCAAACTTTTATTTCCATCTAATACTAGGACTGGTGCAGGTACATTAAATAATGTTCGATGATAAAGCCATTCATCGTGAATATCATGAATCTGTTTTAAATACTCTAATGATACAAAATTTTCTTCCTTTCTTGCTCTTGCCTTCATCCTCTGATATACAATTTCTGGAGATGTTCTTAAATATACTGTTTAAAAAAAAATAATGAATAATGTAAACTAATAATATTATAGGATTTAATGCAAGTTATATTACCTATTAAATCTGTTTCTATACTAGCGCTTTTTATGCACCAGTCATACCAATCCTCCAAAACCACTACTTCTATATCACGCAACATTTTTGTACGCTTCATATTTTCTATAAAACATCTCGCACTGTAGACGGATCTTTCCATAATTTTATAAGGAAATGGTGTTTTATATGTATGAAGTTGAAGCATAGTTAATTGCACATAAGATTGAAATAAAAAGGCATAACGTGAAGGATCAGTGTACATTAGTTCCTAAAGATAGTCATTATTTGTTAATATTACATTGTTACCAGGAATATAAATATTACATTTATGCTGATAAATTTAAGCTTAAGGAATCTTACTAATAAATTCGTTCCAGCAACATCTCGCCAAAGTTCTACTGGTTCCTCTAAAACTGTTGTGTTATCATATTTTTTAAAATGACTAAGAAATGTTGTTTTACCACTTCCTATGTTTCCTTCTATACATACTGTAAATGGCCGTTTATATAATTTGGAAGGCGAATTTACCATTTTTGTTAATAATGTAGCTACAGATTTAGCTAATGAAACAAAAAAAGGTAATAATTAATTTACTTTTCCTATAAAAGTTTTTAATAGACGTATGAAGTGTTTTAGTTACAAAAAATGCCAGTTTTCTTTACCTGAAATTACTGAAGTGTTAGAAGAATTAAAAACTGAAGTTTATCCAAATAGTTAAAAATATCACTTTACAAAACTTTTTCAATTAAATAATTTTAACAAAAGAAAACAACAACAAATATCATAAATTATGTGAAAAGTTTAGAAAATTAACTAGAGACGTAAAAACATTGCACGGTCGGTTAATTGTCCACTGATAAAATACTTTCTCGGATACTTTCCCGCGCAAATTGTATACGGTGATTCCTTCGCTACGCAACGACGACAGCGCTACTAAATGCACATTTCGACTGTTCCTTACCATTGTAACCTAATTGTATGAACCGCCGCGTGAAACAGTGATGATAAAAATACAAAAGAAATGATAGACAATGAACGAACAAATAGCGAAGAATATAAATTTTTTGAATTTTATTGATAGATAGTTCAGGAGTGGATAACATTTATTTCTATTAATTTCCCGATTATGCCGCCGTCGATGTCATTTATTTCATATCACATAACGAATGAATTACCCTATATATGCATGTTGATTTTAATTATCTCAAATTATTATGATATACTATCTGTGAATTTCAAACTTACCAATCACTGTCATGATGAAATATTATGAAATAAAGATTTTTAATAAATTTTGTTGGTTCAATGATTTAACTTCGCACCCCTTATTACATGCCTAACCACGAAACACTCATATCGAGACATTTGTACAAGTGCAAATCTCGTTTTTCTGGGGAAAATGTCTACCAATGGAAATAAGATTCTACCACCCCCGTATTGTCACACATTATGCCTGATTTACAATAGACATCTTCGACATCAAAAAACAATACAATTGAAATAATCCATTTTATGGGCTCTAAAATCCTTAGACATTTTGCGCTAGCATTTAGGAGGCTAGCATCAAATGTCACTAAATTTCGGCTATAATTTTTGCTTTCATTGACTTTTTGAACCAGTTAGCACTACAAAAATGTTCCACAGCTAAATAATGTTGTTTTTTAAAGGTAATTTAACGCAAATAATTGTCTATAAAGTAGACGAGAATTGATGTCAATTGACACTGATAGAAAACGGCCCAAACTACGGTATAAATTACATTTTTTTGACTATGTCCATAAAATTAGAAGACATACCAAATACGTTGCTGCCGAAAAAAATAAGTTAATTTATATATGTAATGTTTTATTAGGTTCGTTATATTACCGATCTCATATTTTTCATATTTATTTATGCATCAAAAGCTCTCCTTCTCTCTCTCTCTATATATATATGCGTATATATATTATCTAAAATTTGTATAAAATTATAGTCGAAATGTTTTGATAGAAATAAGATATATTAACAGACTTATTGTTTTGTTCGTATTTAGTTTGAAATTAAAATTAGAGAAAGGGAATTTGTTAATTCAAAGAAAAAAATCAGCTGGTATGAGAAAGTCACGTGTTTCTATTATAGATATGAAGTGACACTAGTGTCAAGAATGAAGCAATGGGTTATATTTTAAATGATTTATTATGGATCTATTGAAATATTTTTGAATACTTTTAATCATTAATCGAAGCGAACCTTTGATTATCGATTTTTAATGAATCTCATTTTCCTTAAATTGATATTAATGGAATTGAAAATATATACGTATTATATGATCAAATGTAGTGTAGCAATAATCAACATTGTTGATTTAATGTAATTTGTTTGTATGTACATGCATATTTGTTTTTCTAGGTGTAATTATATAATATTTAATGGTTTTAAGTAATATTATGAGATAATCTATTGATTGATAATCATTTTTTTTATCAAAATTCCATTATAATAAGAACAATGCGAAATTTTGTAAGTGATTTTGTGATTTGGTAAGTTTGGTTATAAATTTTAATAGCTACATTGTTACTTATCAATGCGGTGTTTTTTCTTTTTGCAAAACATAAGATAAAACAATAAACTCTTAAAAGATTTATTTTTAATTTGTATAAATAATTTTTTTCGCAGCATATTACTACTGCTTTCAGTAAGTCTTATATTTGGAGCTAGTGAAATTATTAAGTCTCTTGTCAATACTGGAGACAATTTTTTAAAAAATACTTCCTACAGTTGGATCATCAGATTATGTTTAAATTTATTAAGTTATGCTACTGTGCTATTGCCAGGTTATCTCATGTACAAATATGTACGTCTTACCAAATATATTCAGAGGGGAGGTAAATAACAGATAAAAATAAAGCATATTAATTTGGAAGAATACTTGAATTATTATATAAAATTATATAAAATTTTTCACAGGTAAAGGATGCATTCCAAGATTAGTACATTCGTGTTTTATTGGTCATTTTGAAACAGGACTTTTGGATTCTTCATCTTATACGTCTACACCCTCTAATCAACGTACTTTTACACAAGATGCTCTGTTACTTTTATATTGCTTTTTTGGATTACAAATCAGTTATTTAACATGGGGTTATTTACAAGAGAAGATAATCACACAGGTATAATTTATTTGATACATATTAGATTTTATAAATCAACTTATGAAAACACAAAACATGCTTTGCAATAAATTAAATTTATGAAATTATATTCTGCATACTTTCTGATTGATCATTTGAGAAGCTAAATAGTTCATTTTAATGATGATTTTGCAAGTACATGTTGCCGTAGTTAAATGTCCATGTACAAGGACACTTTGTTGACTTAGATTTCAGAATCACAATGCGAATCGTCTAGTCACTACTTCTAGGAGATCCAGGCTTTCCGTGAAACAAAGTACTGAAGATGGTGTTTTTTATCCCTTCATTACACCAAACACGGTATGGGTACTAATCATAATACCCACGATGCTACCAAAAAGATGTTCAGTTACATTTCATCTGAAACATAATTATTTAATATTATTTGAAGACGATTTAAGCACAAGTTGCAGAATAAATTACACAGTACAGTTAAAATTATTAGGACATAATATTGTTACTAATAACTTACACAATTAATTTCATTAATATATTTATGACTTAGAAATTTTTATGGTACGAATAAATTTGTTTTTCAGGAGTATGAAAATGTTGCTGGTAACAAAGATCGATTTCAAGACTCTCAATTTTTAGTGTTTATAAACCGGATTCTCGCATTTTTGATGTCAGGATTATATTTATTAATTCAAAGGCAACCTCAACATAAAGCACCTCTCTATAAATATGCGTTTTGCTCTTTATCAAATATTATGAGCAGTTGGTGTCAATATGAAGCTTTAAAATATGTTAGTTTCCCAACACAGGTAGTTATTATTTATTATATTTTTCTTCAACTTATGCCACGAGAAATTTGTAATGCAATAGCTGTGTGTTATTGTAGGTATTAGCAAAAGCTTCGAAAATCATTCCAGTAATGATAATGGGAAAAATAATTTCTCAAACCACGTATGAGTATTATGAATATGTTACAGCAATACTTATTTCTATTGGAATGACATTATTTATGTTAGATAGTTCTGATCATAAAAATGGTAAAACTTCTGTTGCGTAATTAATGTAAAATTATTTTTACATCTATTATTATTATTTCATTGTTTGTAGATGGAGCTACTACTGCCTCTGGTGTTATTCTCTTAGGAGGCTACTTATTGTTAGATAGTTTTACAAGTACTTGGCAAAATGCATTATTCGTGGAATACGGTGCAACAAGCGTACAAATGATGTGTGCAGTTAATATGTTTTCCTGCTTGTTAACTGCACTATCTTTATTTCAGCAATCTAGTTTTCCTCTCATACTATCTTTCATGACAAAGGTGACTTGAATTCCAGAAAATGCTGTAAAATGAAATTAGTACCAGCTTACAGTTCTTACAGTTTGTTTTATTATACAGTATCCTAGATTCATCATGGATTGCTTACTTATATCGATTTGTTCTGCAAGTGGTCAGTTATATATTTTTTATACAATTTCTAAATTTGGACCAGTAACGTTCGTTATTATGATGACTATACGACAGGTAGTAATCTTTTACAGATATCGCTATGAATAGCATATCCAATTATTTTTATTAAAATATTAATTTTTTTTAGGGTTTGGCCATATTGTTATCCTGCTTGATATATCATCATCGTGTAACAGTTATTGGCATAATTGGTATATTATTGGTATTTGGTTCGGTATTTTTGCGAATTTACTGTAACAATCGACTACGTGCGATTAGAAGGCGTAGAGCTGCAGCGACTAGTATAAAAGATTAATTCATAGGGTGGAACTGTAGATACAAATTCTATAAAATGTTGCGTGTTTTCCTTTTAAATGCACACATATTTTATTAAGTATTTTCAGTCATAAGATCTGTATGCGTATGTCACATACATTTAAAAAGAAAAAGGTCATTTACTTATTAAATATTTATAATAAATATTCGCTACTCCATGACGTATTTTTAAGTGAAAAATAGCTTTGAAATACGTATTAAAACTGATTATTTTGCAAAAATTCGTTATTTATTAACGAAATATTTATTTTGCTGTAAATATCAGATAGAGACGAACAAATGTATAATTTTTACTAAAACGTATTAATAAATAATATCGTGAAATTTTACGTGCGAGCTATTGCGTACAATGTTAATTTGTTAAACATCCATATATTTATTTACTTATCACTGATACAAGATTGAAGGTATTAAAATCAAGATGCACAGTTTAATATGTAAAACAGTTTTAATTTATATCAATACACAAAAAGACAATATATAATGTTATAAATCTTTTTTTTACCTTTTTGATAAAATTCGTTTATTCGTCAGGAGGCGAGGGGCGATAAATAGCTATAAGGCACAAGATTGAAATAATTAATTCAGATGCTAGAAGTACCAACTGTATGCTACAAAGAATTACTTCTAATCTCAGTACATAATTTTGCCAGATTAAAAAATACAATGTTGCCAAAGCACTGGGTACTGTTAAAATGACTCCAATAAGAATTGGTAATCCATGTTCTGTCAAGTTTCCTTTTCTTCCAAGGTAAATTCTAGCACCTTCTGTGATAATGAGGAAAAACAATAACGCAAACTCTATCAATGTTGTGCTTGTACCAGGCGAGGGCAGATTTGCAGCTTTGAAAAATCCCATACCTAATTCACATATAGCAAACATGCCAAAATAAAAGGAATTGAGGTACATAAGAATCTCATATGTTAAGGAGGAACTGGCTATCGTTGGCATCTTTTATATTTATATTAACATTGATAAACCATGTATTTATCTGATATTACATAATATTTATTCCTTTAGTTATGGTACTTTTGAAAAGATGAATCTTATGTTTTTTACCATCCATAACAAGTTAAATTATTTTTATTTCATATTCATAGTGAATATTCCATCATGATATTGTTTCTTATCATTCAATGTTATTAATTTATGTTTGTGCACAATAGCAACTGCCAATAGCATCAATATCTTGTTAATATAATATATTCATCTTTTGATCTTATATTCTATATTTCATATTTTATCATTTATAAAACTCAGTCAATTCTCCTGTAATAGAAGTTTAACAAATTAATCGATACATTTCACAAAAACAATAATTTACTTAATCTTATTCTTAAATATGCTATAAATACATACATACGGGGATTTGTCCAAAAATATTACAGTGTTTCTAGATTATCGTTAGAAAATATCAATGAAAATTGTTCTTAATATTAACAGTCAGGTTTGGTTAGGAAAATATAAACACAACCGAATCTGTTACTGATTGAACTGCGATTACTTTTCGCACTTTTCATCTCAAAATTTGTACCGTTTATTAAATATTCTCGACGCACGTTAAGCGCTTCAATTAGAAAACGTTACATGTTAAAACGGATAGCCTATTTTATCCCTCTGAGAAAGATCGTCTAGCACGCAAATTTATTAGGGCAGTGTTACCACTCGAGACACAATGAAATATATTTAATTTGATTGTAATTATATATAATTATTTTGGAACGTGTATATATTTCAGAGACTTATCAATTATTACAGAAGACAGGCATATAAATTTATAATGCAGTGTTTAATTGTAATTTAACCTTTACCATATAAATGTTATATTATCTTGATTGGATTTTAACGATGTGTTGGAAGTAACTTGTTTCCACGGAATTTTCACGAAAATAACATACTTAGTAAGATAATTGATTGTTCATCATGGCAAAGTTCAAAACTAAAAACGATTGGTAATGGCTATTTATTTGAATTTTTCGCGAGCACTTCGTGTAAAAAAATTACTTGAAAGTCGAGGAGGAAAGAGGGTGAGAGAATGTCTAACAGGGATTCAATTTCACCGATCGGTGGTAAAGAACATCAATTTTGGAGGTTCGAAGAAGGCAGTTCATGCTATTCTGATTCTCTCTTACAAGCCCGAACATCGAGTACGAATACAAGATGGCATATCATTGGCGAACGATGCGGAACGTTATAGTTTATTCGGTGGTATTTTAATCGTAGCTAGAATTTTTATGATAGGATCTGTCATCGTTGGACTAACCGTTGCATACTTTGTTACACGTTTTACACATGAACACGTATTTCCGACAATTCTGCGAAAAAGTAATTGCTCGATTAAAGTATAGATGTAGCTTACGTCACGTGTAATCGTTTGATTTACGCTGAGGACAAATTTGAAGGAAATCAATAAATCATTAAATATTTTACTACACGAATTGCAGGTATCGAATTCCTTGGGCCGATTTTTATAAAATTTGGTCAATGGGCATCTACGCGAAAGGATTTGTTTCCTGAGAATATTTGTCACACGCTTTCGCAACTGCAACGGACCGCTTCTCCTCATTCCTGGATCTATACCAAGCAATTGCTCCAATCTATTTACGGTTCAAACTGGAATAAAGTATTCGTAAAATTCGAAGATGAATCACCAATAGGATCAGGATGTTGTGGTCAGGTAGAAAAATAAAAGGAAAATATAGGAGTTCGATCGCTTCGATACGTTACGTGCATATATTATTGTATGTATACTTTTTACGTTGGCACGATTCAGATTAGATTTCCTCACTAGGTATACAAGGCATGGGTGGATCTGAATGCTCGACTGGAAGTAACGCAGGAACCACAAATATCTGCATTCGTTCGAAGTAAATTATTTTACTAGAGGAAACAAATGGTATTTTAGATAGGATATTACGTATCATGTTCCACCATAAACTTTCAACATTAAAAATGGATGTTCTCGAATAATTTTCGCATTCGTGCGTATATCGTGCATTTTAATCGAATCTTCTTACAGTTGTAGAATATTTCAAACTCGGCTCGCTCGTCACCTACATCGGTAAATAGATGACATACGTGTACGAAAATCAGTCCTTAAGCTTAACGAAAATTGTTTCCTCAAAATAAGAGTAATTTCATTTTAGGTAAAAAACTGAATGGAAACGACGGAATCGAACGTGATTATATGTATAAAAGAAATTTGCAACCAGTGGCAGTAAAAGTTTTGCATCCCGGAATTAAAGAACAATTGAGGTACCTTACCAATCGAATTTTCTTTAAACATTCTTATCGATTGATCTTTAAACGATCGTTTACCCAACGACGTTCTCTTCTTTCTTTTAGAAGAGATCTTTCTATCATGAAAGGAATTTGTAAATGTGTCACATACATAATGCCACAATTAAAATGGCTTAGTTTGACCGACTGTATCAACGAATTTTCGCAAATAATGGAAAATCAAGTGAGTGTTTTGATCGTATAAATTGTAATTACAATACTAGAATTTATGTAATGTTTGTAAAAGGTTGACATGAATTTGGAGGCCGCGAATCTAATTAAATTTTCGCGTAATTTTGATAAAAAGAAAGACGTCGTTTTTCCACGACCTTACACAAATTTCACGCAACGCGAAATACTCGTAGAAAGCTATCACGACGGTGCCCCTATTACCGACTATGTCAAATACGACGATACTAAATTCCAAGGAATACTAGCTAAAATAGGAATCAAAACAATTTTGAAAATGGTTTGAGCTTTATTTACGACTAATGTATACGACGGAGGTTGCAGAATTACCGATAATACTTTACAGGTATTTAGTGATAATTTTATTCATTGTGATTTACATCCTGGTAATATATTGGTGCAAACGAATTACGCACCAACGAGAAAAACTGGTGCTTGGTTTTGGAAATATATCGATCGTAACCAACCACGTTTAGTCATTCTCGATTGCGGCTTAGTGGTATCCCTGAACGATCGCTGTCGGCAAAATCTGAAAGACGTCTTTCGTTCGGTGCTCATGGGCGACGTATGTACAGGAATTATTCTTTCCTTCCTCTTCCGTTTATCGCCGTTTGTTGGAAACGGCAGACACGTTAATTGTTTCCTCCCTTTATTTCTGTTAGGGTGAATTGGCAGCAGAATACATCCTGGATCATAGTTCACACGCGTCTCCAGATCCAGACGGTTTCAAGCGTACGATAAAGGACATTGTGAACACGCATCGTGAGAGTAGAATGAACGTAGGTAATTTTGCAAAATTTCCATTTGATCCGTGAAAAATCACGATTCTTTTCATCGATTGTTCTCGGAATTGTTGTAGATGAACGTAAGCACCATTGTAACCGAATTATTCAACGCGATGATTCGCTATAGAGTTAAACAGGACGGATCCTTTAGCAGCGTGATATTGAGCATTGCAGTGATCGAAGGTCTCGGACGAAGTTTGGATCCAAATATCGATATTTTCACGGAAGTTGTACCATTCATTTTCGTCGATACGATTTACAGTGATCAAATTTGAAGACATCGAAAGTGCTTTGCCATCGCAAAGAAAATAAGTTCGAATAATTTTATGGACGATAAATTGTTCGATCGAACGCACGTGGTCGTGACTAACAGAGATAAAGAAGAACATTCCTATTCTACGAATCTCTGGCCTTAAATGGATCTTAATATCTATACTTCAAGCTCTTTGGTGTACTTAGTCATAAGCAGATGGTACGAAAGACGCGATCGTTGAGACGTTAAAAAGCAGAATTGCAGCGCGTAATCGCGACAAACAGAATTCCGGCGAGTGACCAGTTTGTTGGCGATCGCTTCCTGGTTGGTTGACCATCTTCGGTACGCCGTGGCCGCGTCGAACTGATACACCATTCGTACTCGCATGTACACGCGCAACCGTTCCGTACCGTTGCACGCTGCTGCCCTCAGATTATTCCCGTATACCGTATACATGCCATTTTTACCTACACAAGCATATTTGCTAACGGGACCTTTCCGAATCTTCTGGTGGAACGGTTACGTCGTATATTTTGCTGCAGCGAATTTAATACGATTAGCGCAACAAACATTCTTGTAAAAATTTTTCTTCGATTTCTATCTTTTGTAATTTCTAAACGTTACGTTAGTCCGCAACGTTGTCGCGATAGTTCAAATGAATGACTATTGTAATAAAACGAAGTCGAAGCATTTGTCATCGAAATTCGGTGACTCCTCTTTATCTTGTCGGAACACGAACTTGTTTTATTTAATTTCGTTCGAAGCTAGCTCCGATCGGTGTACGTTCACGCTTGTTACGAATACATCTACCTTATTTCCCCTTACTGAATCTAGTTTGTTCTATGCGATGCGGTTCGTTGCGGTCTTATCGTATGTTTATCAAAAGGAGAAGAAACATTCAACTTGGATATATTTTTATTTATTTTTATTCTTAATCGCGTAACGATGACTTCTTTGTTCTTATTCGATCATGAGTGTTTCTTCTTTTCTTCTCCGCGAAGAATTATAAATACGCGCAAATGTACGCTGTAAATTTTGTTTCAAATGGTCAATGATATCGACGAGATTCGACAAACGAGGAAATCGATCGAAAGTTACCAAGCATGTATCGAATGTAACCGGTCAGTGAATCCTCGCATTTCTGAAAGTTCGTCGATCGCGATGTCTTGTCGCGCCATCTGTCGAACGTTCCACGATTGTTCTAGTGCCGAATCTCCCCTCCAAGGTAACTTATCCTCTTTGTCGAAGATGATCGAATCATGTACCGTTTGGGTCCAATGAATTCAACCTAACAAAGAAACGGCGAGGCGTGCGAACGGAATACATACATACAGGGAACTAAGAATTAAACGTGGAACGTATACGGAGCGAAACTCCGTTTTTTTATATCCAACGCGGGTCGAACAAGCATAAAAATTATAGCAACTTTTCGATCAACGGCTAAATACACCTCCTCGACTTCATAGACTAGATCTGCCGAATATCTGTTCGCCTCCTCCACGTTATTTCATTCATTTTTAGTTGCGCTTTTTTTTATTCTTATTTTTTTCTTACCGCGATAGAAGTAATTCGTCGACATAAATCGATGTCTTATCGAAAGGCGCGATCGGTGTGAAACTACTATTCATCGTCATTAGCACCATCATCGCCGCCAACAATGCGCACCACCATACCACCAGTACGACTCCCGCCACTACCATCGGCACCATCACCACCACCACCACTATAACCACCACCACCGCTGCCGTCACCACTACCGTTGCTACCGCCACGGTACAATCATCGGCGACGACGTTTGGTGTCTCTTTTTACCTGTACTTCAGAGTACGAGCACCCTTCGTAAGTACAAGAACGTCTTGTCTCGATTTTATCCGCGGATCGATCGCCACCTGTGACCACGAGCACACGAACACACTGACACACTAGCGCACTTACAAACGAGCACATCACGCGAATTTTGCTATATCCATCGAATTTCGGAAATCAAGCAGTTTATTTTACACCGATATTAAAACATTGTTTTTACGATATGGTTTTAGATTCACGCGAACTACAGTTAATTTAAAGGGTTAATACGCGCATTGAAGATAAATAGTGCGAGACGCGTTCTGTGAGCACGTGGTTGCAGTGGCAAATCAACGCTTACTTTACGCGTAAACGTTCGTTAACTTACCTGGAAGAAATCTTTTTTTCGTATCGGTTTTATCATCCTGGGTCCTCATTGATTTTTAGTGAAACATGTTTTGTCGGTTCTATGTTACGTTTCAAAATCTTCGAACGCGAAAAAGTGATAAAAATTTACTTTACAGTAACTGTAACAGATTTTCGTTTACGCGTTACGCGTTTTTAATGCGTGGGTGATCGCGAGGGGGACCGCGTTTGATGCGTGAACGAAAGTCAGCTAACGAGCCGATATTCGTTTGAGCCGCGTCTTTTTTTGTATCGAAGATCAGACGAAACATTGTACGAATCGTTTGTTCGTACGTATCGACCGGGTGAACAATGAACGCCGTGGCGCGAACGCGATATATCCGGATGACGCGCGCCAAAAATAAATACGTACATTGGTAACTGCTATATATCGTGTACGCGTGTTAGAAAGCGTTTATCGGCGAGTTAGCGAGCATAAATACTCGAACGACAGGCACGCAGGCTAGACTAACGAGATAAACGTTCAACTTTCATCGAAGCTTCGCGTTTTGTATTCTCGTTGAAGTTCTGGCGAACGAAGAAGAGACAATGATATGGAAACAACGCGGATCGATTATCGAAATCGGAGAAACGCGCCTCCTCCATCTGTGTTTATCGCGAAACCGAGTTACTGTTTCACCGGTTCGTTGGTTCGTCTTCGTACGCGATTACGATTACCCATATTCGTTGTCTCTGTCGGTCATGCGTGACGAGTAGCGGTAGTTATTCGATTGTTCCGCACGCGATATTGACAACAGAAGTTGAGCAGAAGTTGGGCGTTGTAGCGACGATTGTATCGCGTTCGATATGATCGAGATCCGTAAGGAGAATCGATACGTTTTCGCGCCTAATATTTTTCCGTGTTTCACCTCGCGTGGCACTTTCTCCTGTAATTTCCGCATTTCCGTATATCGATCGTTCGAAGTTGCCACGAAATATCGGGCGAGAGCGATAAAAACAAAAATATCCGGTGACGCGTTGCTTCGTTCGGTAAATAACCGCGATTTAGATAGCGGTGCGGTTCAAATTCGAGTCGCGAAGATATTTCGGGGAACGAACGTGCAAATGAATTTGACTCGGCTGGAAAAAAGCATCGAAAAAAAGAAAACGGTTAGAGGTGTCTGAAGGCGCTTTCACGACCCGAGTCGTGAAACGTTGCGACATCGAGTCGCGTCGCGTGTTACGACGAGTTTGTCAGAGAAAAGAAAAAAGAAGGGTTTCAACGACATTCGCGGTTCGTTCGATGGATCGTTGTTTCCGCGTGGATCGTGTACGAGTGAGCGTATCGTGAGGCAGTAGTCGGTATTTGGGTATTTTCTCCTCGATCCGTGTAACAGTTTCGAGATTAGCGAGTCAAAGAAAGAGCAGGGTCATCGGCGACGATACGCGTTATCGGTGCGTACCGCAAATAGAAGAAACGCGCAATCCGTAAATAACAGTGGGACAGTCAGTCAACTCGTACCAAACGCTGATGCGAGTCGCGTTAACTAATTCCGCCTTTTTTCGCTTCCTCACGAAAGTTTATACTCGCTGATAGTCAATTAATCTGAACAGCTATTCGATTTCTATGTAGACGACGGCAGCGAGTGATCCTGTATCGCGAATAACATCGGTAAATCGAAGCGCTTCGCGTTCGTTGTACGCATCTTGAGTCTGATCATTACCCATCCGCGATTTACCAGTATTATCGAGTCCCGATCATCGGTCGCGAGTTCGCGTTCCATCGGTGGTTAGCTCGTTCGAGCGAAGAATACGGAGAAATCCGATGGTTCGCTCGCGTTTTGCTAGGAACGACGGAAGAACGCGGTTCGATTAACGGTTAGTTCTCGAGCTAACGTTTATCGAAACGCGTTTATTCAAGAATTATGCGAAAACGTCTCTTCCGACCACTGCCATTCACCGATACGCGCCGAGATTTGAAGTGTACACAGTCGACCACGTGTGCGCTATTTCTTTATCAACGCAATAAAAAACGCCCGTGTAATCCGTTTACCGTACGTTGTGTACCTTTCCAGCGAAGATAAAAATCGGTCGTTCCGACGTCGCGATCGGCGAAAAGGTGGTATAAAAGAGAACAAGGGAAAGAGTTGAGATTCTGTTCGCGTTTGCGTAGGAATTTTGGCAGAACGTTTCGAGATGTTAATTTCGAGCGCTTGGTTCGAGATAATAGCAGCGGCACTCTTGACGACGTTGATCTTCGCGACTAGCTATCGGCCAGTCTGGTGGTTCTGGAGCGGAGCTTCGCACAGGACCAACGGTGAGTCTCTTCGTTAACGATCGATCTTGATCCTTTTTCGCGAAATAACGAGCTCGATTAACGCCACGATCGCTGTTCGAAACGAGACAATTTTCACAAGAAAAAAAGTGCATGTCCGCAACGCGGGATAAAATCGGAAAAAATAGTTCCACCGTGCGTTATTTCTGAACGACATTATTCATCGAATGACCCGATACCACGAAAGATAGCCTTAGTTTTATAAATACCGTTTGAATCGAGTGTCGCGCCTTGTCAAATGGAAAACAGATAATAGATATCGGTCGAACGCGTGTTTACTCGCGTCGCGAAAAGAAAATTTGTCGCGACGCGTCGGAAATAGGGAACGTTGAAAGGAAGGCACAAGAGCGCGGAGAAATTGCGTTTCGTAGGGGCGTTCGAAGAACGACCTTCGTTTCGAAGCAACCGCGCGTGTACGATCGCGGACAACCGCCTTTCTAAGCTCGAAGGTTCGTGGCGTTAAGCAAGGTCGTCGTCGACCTCGCATCCTTCGACCTTAGAACATCTTTTGCGCTCCTCCAATAAAACCAACGCACGCGTCACGCGCTTCAAATGTAACGAGTTTTCGCGTCGATGCTTGCCAGCTCCGGTCGAAGTGACGGACCGAAGGAAATTTAAGACGGTCTCGGATGTGCCAGGACCGTACTCCTTGCCGATTCTTGGAACCAGGTGGATATTCTCCGGCTTCGGATCCTATACTTTGAACAAGATTCACGACGCTTACAAAGGTAAGAAGTTTGACTTTGACGCAACGACGTACACTCCGCGAACGGCCAGACTTATATGGTACTTGTGAACATTTTGAGACGTTCCGGAGGCAATTAAATAGAATCGTTTGCGGACGCTTCAACGCGATTTTTCTCTGATTCAAGAATAGATTTGAATCGACGGTACGGAGCGTTGTGTAAAGAGGAGGCATTATGGAATTTTCCGGTGATTTCCGTGTTCTCTCGTCAAGACATCGAGACCGTTCTACGACGAAGTCCGAGGTATCCGCTTCGCCCTCCGCAGGAAGTGATATCCCATTATCGTCGAACCCGTCACGATCGCTACACGAATCTCGGTTTAGTCAACGAGTGAGTACCGACACTAGATTCGCAGAATCTCGCGTGATCTTCGACAAAGATCCGGTCGGTTTAAATGAACGAACAATTCGATAGACAGGGACAAACGTGGCACGATCTTCGGACCGCTCTTACGTCAGAATTGACGGGAGCCAACACCGTCCTTGGCTTCTTCCCGGCTCTGAACGTGGTGGCTGATTCCTTCGTTGACCTGATCCGTCGGCAAAGAACGATGGGATACAAAGTAACGGGTTTCGAGGAGCTCGCCTATAAAATGGGACTCGAGAGTAAGCCGTGTTTCTCGCCGTACGATTCGTTCTCTCTTCGGCGTGGCTGCAATCGCGTTTCTATTTCTTCAGGTACGTGTACTCTGATCTTGGGAAGACACCTCGGCTTCTTAAAGCCAGACTCCAGCAGCGAAATCGCGAGCAGATTGGCGGAAGCGGTCAGGGTTCATTTCACCGCATCGCGAGACGCTTTTTACGGTTTGCCGCTTTGGAAGCTGCTGCCTACGTCCGCGTACAAACAGCTGATAGAAAGCGAGGATACCATATACAAGTGCGTCTATATCTCGAAATTAGTCAATTTTGCAGCCCGAACGGTTCAAGAGTACTGTTTCGTTTCCAGTATCATATCGGACATCGTGGAAGCCACGATATGGGAGAAGCGAGACGATGCCAAAGACGAATCTGTGGAAGCAGTGTTTCAATCCATATTGAGGCAGAAGAGTCTCGACGTACGAGATAAGAAGGCAGCAATCGTCGACTTCATAGCGGCTGGTATACACACGGTGAGTGAAATCGCAGTCGCGGAAGAGATCGATGTTCGCCGACGATCATTCGTACATTCGTTTCGTGCAGCTAGGAAACACTCTGGTCTTCTTGTTCGATCTGATCGGGCGTAATCCAGCGGTGCAAGCCAAACTGTACGAAGAAAGCTGCTCTTTGGCTCCTCCTGGTTGTGACCTCACCATCGAAAATTTACGAAAGGCCAAGTATCTGCGCGCCTGCATCATCGAATCCTTTCGGTGCGTAATCGATAACAGTGCTCCAACGTCTTTGGAATCGGGAAAGCTACTTTTCAAGTTTCATTTTTTACACCGCAGCTTTTCTAACTGTTTATACTTTCGCGTTTAGAAAGATTCCTACGACAACTTGTATCGCTCGCATCCTGGACGAACCCCTCGAACTCAGCGGATATCGTCTCAACGCCGGAGTAAGTATTTCTTCGTACCGTTGCTCTACGTTTCTAACCAATCGCGTATTGCTTCTTCTAATCGATCAGTTGCTTGCTTCGCAGACTGTGGTGCTGTTGCACACGTGGATAGCTGGTTTGAACGAAGACAATTTCAAAGATGCCTCAGAGTATTTGCCCGAGAGATGGTTAACGCCTGTCGCTCCGCATTCACCGTTACTGGTTGCACCTTTCGGGGCTGGTAGAAGAATATGTCCGGGTAAACGATTCGTGGAACTGGCACTTCAGCTGATTCTTGCGAAGGTTCGTTTACGCGCATACGCTTTTCAGAATGTCTTTCCATTTCTCTCTAAGCTGTCCGTTTATTTACTAGATCGTTCGAGAGTTCGAGATCATTGTCGACGAGGAGCTTGGCTTGCAGTTTGAATTTATTCTCGCGCCAAAGAGTCCCGTGGTTCTTGGTTTCCGGGATCGTTCTTTGAAAGCGTAACTCGATGAAGCGGATTAAACGATTACTCGAATCGCTGAAATCCTCGTAAAGGTTTCACGATTCATTTCGATTCTGTTCGGTTCAGAATATTTATCGTTGTATTTATACTTTATCGCGCACGCGTCGTTTGGGATCATTTTATTTTTCTTTCGTTCGATTTGCTCAAACTCGTTATATAGTCAAGGTTTTTTCGTTTAGTCTAGGTAAAAATAAGACGATCCCGAATGTCATCATTTTCTACGTTTATTGCGTATCCTATCGTATCGTTTTTCAAGGTCGAAATAAAAGAACATCGATCGTTGGCAAACTTACATTTCTCTGTAAACAGTTGTAATTCGTAACCGAATTCGCCCTGGAAAAACATGTTTTTGATGCGATATAAAATTAATTGACGATACATGTATAACGTTCGTGTAAATAAACAGATATAGATATCGTTTGTTAAATATAACGATGAAAGCGTACAAACTCGATAAAAGTTGATACGCACATTTTTTCGCGCGAACAACGGAATTTGAAAATTCTTCGCAGAAATCTTAACCTATGTTTCGCCTACTGACCGTCATTCGAATTGGCTATTTTATACAGGATTACGACGCGAGCAACGGCGTCTTGAAAAATATTAAATTACGTCCACTTCGTTATTTTGATTTGCTAATATGGCCATATTTTACGCACGCGTACAGTTTGAACTTGTACGCGTATCGTACATGGGCGTAGTTAGTTCATTCTAAAAGACTGAAAATAATCATTAAATATATTAACTGATACGACATAAATTATTTCAGAGTCGCCGTGGTCTCTCGTGTTCGTGTAATTGTTACGAACGATATTGAAATTAAAAAGGTATATTCATTCATCGTAGTTTCTATAATGCCACGTGTAACGTTTCAACGACAGTGATGCTCTGTACGACGCTCTTGCGTTACCGGTTTGCGTACATATAGCCAAGCAATTATCGCATTAACATAACAGCTCGTGTAAAACGTCGATCAAATTTTTGGTAAAAGAATCATTTGACCAAACCTCTGATGCTTCTCGGCAAATTGGGAGTGGAACCCTTATTTACACTCGCGGCGGTTGGTCTCATGAAACTGTGGTTTCTGGTTCCGGCTCTTGGCTGAATCAATTTGCTTTTTGAGGTTGACGTTTGTCCGATGTTCGCGCGGTTCAACGAAGCAGGTTGTTGTCCGGTGCTACTACCGCTTCCGCTACTGCTGCTTCGCGAAGCGATTGTTCGTCCTTTGCTTCCTTTCTGCGCGTCGATCGTTGGCTGTAAACATATCGAGCGTAAAATATAAATTCGAGACTGATTTTTTTGCACCACCCCGTATAAACGAGACGCGATAGAATATATACATATAAATACATGGTAACGCAGATTTAAAGCCAGGCACCAGTAAGCAATTATCTGTTTAGTACCAATTATGGATGACTATACGAGAAGCGATTCATTCGTGCTACGTGATGCAATGTAAAGAATAAATGGACCGCAAAAAGTTAACGCGGCAGAAAGAAGATATTACCCCGAGAGATTTGCGAATGGTTCTCGCGGTTGGACCGACGCTGCTTCCACTGCTACTGCTTCTGCTCGCGGGTATTCTGCTGATAGTCGCCCGTGGATTGGTTCGACGTTTCTCCGTGCTCTTGGGAAGCGGTGGACCGCTTGACGGACTTTTCCGTAGATCGTTGGTCAATGCGCAAATGGCGGACGTATAAGTACGTAAATGAGCGTGATTCGGTACCAAGTTTCGTACGGTATTCACGGAAGTGGCACTATTCAGGGAACTTCGCGAACTGCGGAGACTACTTCTCGAGCCTGAACGTTCTACTTCGTTTCTCGAAGGATTGTTATTAGGTCGAAGCGTTTGATCGGAATTCCTTTGCATCGATTCCGCTTTCCTAGATGCCACATCCGTTCGTTTGATACCGTTAGTTCGTTTCGGTAGGAAGCTTGATTTTTCGCTAGCACGTTTCACCGCGTTCGCTCGTTTATCGAAAACTTTGATCGACGACGATTTCACTGCGTTTTCGATCGTTGGTCCGGTAAGATGCTCGGTCGCGTCTATGTGAACGCGTTCGTGATCGTTCCTGGTATAACGCAGTTCAGCCGGTGAACATCTTATCGAGTCGTGCGTATCCGTCTCATAATTACCGGACGACGTTTCTTGGCTAAGCGTTTCCGAAACTAAACTCTGTGTTTCCTCGAATCCTTCGTCATTCATTTCTTGGTCCCGTCCTTTAACTGTAACGGGCAACGTAGGAGAAGCGGTGACGCTTATATCGGGAACAAATCTACCGTGGAACACCGATGTATCGGTCGTTTCGGGATGCGTAGGTTGTACGTTGATTCCGTTTCGATCGTGAATCTGATCATTCGTTTTTCGTCGTTTCGACTCATCCACCGAGTCCGTTCGATCCTCGTTGCGTTCTTCTTTTCGGGAATCGTCAGATTTTCGAAGTCTCAACGACGCCAAAGTCGCTTCGTTGTCGTTGCTCTGATTCACCTGACTCGGTGGATTGTTCGCTAATCGAATCGCTTCTTTCACTTGACTAGGATCGATCATGCTTCTCTGTCGTTCTCGGCTGGTAACTGCTCTTTCCGGTAGAACCGTCAACGATGGTTCTCGCGGTCGCGACTCCTGCATCACGGGACTAAGAACGGTATTCGTTACCGCGACAACGGGCGGTGGTTGGCTAACGGGTAACCGCGAGTTGCGGTGCGTCAACGGTCGCGACAAACGTTGAAGATCCTCGCCGGAACGAACGATGTCTGCCAGTGCAGTGTCGATGTCGAACGAGGACGCTTCGCGTCGTTTTAGTTTATCTTGCCAAGCGCGTAACATAAAATCTTCGTCGTCCCCCTCTTCGGACAAGGGTAGAGTGTGTGGACGTTGCACCGGCTTCTCCTCGAACGATTCCGAGTTTGCTGCTTCCTGTTTCGACTCTTTTTCCGCGGAATCTTGCGCTTTTTTGTATCTCCGCGTTCTTCTCGCCGCTGAGTAACGATCGAAGTTACCTGAAACGATAATCAGTACGAATTTTCTTCTGTTTTTACGAACGAAATTTTACGACTTACCTGCACCAAGATCCGTGCTACCATTTACATTTTTCACAGCCGCGACCTTCAGATCTCTACTCTGGAAAGAGCCGTTACAACGTTCCCTTTTGCACGGTTCCTTTTCAACCGGCTTCACTTCTTTTGGCGGACTAAACAGTTTTCTAGTTGCCGGAGGAGTTTCGATGTTGTCCGAATCGATTTCGATCTTGTCGCTGATCTTCTCCTCGTCCGTGCCTTTCTTCAACTTTGAAAATTTTCGCGAAGTAGAGGCCTGTGGATTCGCGTACGGCTGCCTTAGGTATATCGTCAACTCGTCTTGATGATCCGAGTTTATCGCGTCCTGTAGTCTGTTCCTCTTCCTATCTTCCTCTTTAATGGACTACGCAATCACGAAAATCGTCAAATTATCGTCGATCGAACGATCTAACCGTACATACCATTTAAAAGAATGAATATTAACCTGTAAAGTACTTAATGCGAGTACGTTGTCCGCGCTGAGTCTTGATCTTAATCTACGAGAGTATCGAGGATCAGTCTCTTCCATGCTATTTGGTACGTTCAAGCTGGACTTTCGCCAAGGAGATTTGTCCTTTTGCGACGGATGCGTTTCTGCTTCTGAAAACGAAAGCAAAAACAAAAGCGAAAAATATATAGGTTACATATTCAAACAGTGTTTATCTTTCTCGATGGCCTTACATAATAAAAGCAACAAAAACAACCTTCAATAGCTTCCATTGTGCGCATAACGTCCGTCTTCTCGACCGACGGACGCCAGTCGTAAATATCGGAGTATGCTTCACGCGTCGAATTACTTTCGGTCGGGGTGTTCGTCTTGCCTTCGCTTTCTGTAAATCAAATTACGCGAATCAATATATATTCGTTGTTGTATTTGACGATTAAAGGTATTTCGAGTACTTACCCGAGTCTTCGAAGGACCGTCGGTTCGCTTGATGCAATTGTCTCGCTTTCTTCTGAAGCTCTTCACCAGCTCGATCTTCTTTCTCGTTTTCCGACAACCACGCTTCGATCTTTTGTCGCCATGCTTTCCTGGTTTGGCATACAACAGCTTTGAGCACGTACGCGAAAAAGGGAAAAGAACGTATCATACGTAGCAGTATCGTAACTCTTACCCTGCAGGCTTCGTTTCTTCTTCTTGCAAAAACGGTTTGCTTTCTATCAAAGGCGACGGTGAACTCGGTCTTTCGCGATCGCCCGAAAAATCGGCGTTCAATAGATCGCTTCTTCGAGATTGTCCGCGAGCTTTTCGTGCCCATGAACGATCTAATGATATTGCGCAAATAAAAAATGAAAATAAGAAGAATAGAATGATAGATCCCTTGTGTTAAAAAATTAACAATATTTTGTGTATCGTACCTAAACTGCCCCAAGATTTTCTTTCTCGAGTACCATCTTGACCCGACGTTCTTAAAAAGTCCATCAGATTACCGTCGTCGTCTTCGCAAGGTATTCGACTTCGGCGACGTCGAAGGGTTCCGTTCGGTGTAACATCTATCGCGTGAAATAGTAAAAAATAAGAAAACTAGAAACCGGATTTGGACAATGCGACAATCAAATGATAAAACCTGGAGAATATATTTCTTCTTTGGCAGATTGATGATCGATGGTTCCACCGGAACAAGAACCTAGACGTCGACGAATATTCGGCGAGCCGGTAATCGAGACATCGTCATCGGACGTGACGCCTCCGTTTTGTAATCGTTTGATCTGCAAATCGAAGCGAAACTATCTGAGTTAATGAACAGTTTCGATAATACCAGAACTGCTTTATTATACGCATACTTTGGCTTCGTGACTGCGACTATAATTTCTTGAAAGTAAACTGGCATTAAAATCGATGGGATCATAGTCGGCTAGGTTGCATTCGGATTCAGAGGTTGGTGCCTCGGCTTGATTGGTTACTGTAAAAGTTATATATCGATAAAGAATCGAAAGAAAAATGTACATTAGATAAAAGTACCAAAAATATATATACATACGTAGTCGTTTTTTAGCCAATAACTGTTCCTCTCGTTGCTTGCGCCTCGCCAAGACTTGCTCCTCTTGAATTCTGCGTCTTTCGTTCTCCGCGACGGCTTGGTTAAATTTTTGACAAAACTGATGGAATACTTTGAAGCATTCCTCGATCTTGAAAGTGTTTGCGTCTTCGCAAAAAAATTCGGCGAGCGATCTCCTTAACGTTTCCAGTTCTTCCATGTCTCTTTTCAGTTGACTCATTTCCTGTTCCGCCATCTACAGAAGTGCATGATTAAAACATTCGAAATTAATTTATCAACACTAAAAGCTATACCTGCAAAAATTGTGCCATTTGCTCTTGTATATCGATTTCCGTCGAAGGATATTGAATCTGCGCCTTAATCTTCTTAATCTTCGTGTCGAGTGCGTTGAATTCGTTGTTCAGCTGCTCTGTCGTAGTTCTTGCGGCACGAAAATAGGACGAGAATATTAAAAGAATTACGTTTTATTGTCTTCTTATTTCTATACTTACTTCGTTGCAGCTTCTAACGCAGTCATATTCTTGGTAAAATCTAACAGGTCTTTCCTCTTCCTTTCCGCTTGCTGCAATACAAATCCTTTAGACGAATACGCGCAATGAAAAATAAGTCCGAACGAAGAACTAAAGTTTACTTTACCAAAGCGACGTAATGTATGAGATTCATTCCTGGCTTATTCGCACGAATCTCGGTTAATTTTTGTAAAGAAGACAACTTTACTCCGGCAGCGTTTCCCGCGTAACCACCCTACAACATTAGTTTGAAATTCTTTCGCTCTCTCGAAGTTAGTAACGACATGAATTAGATTTTACTCGTACCGAGTTGAGAAAATTTCCAGCGACCAGAACCATGTAGAGCATCTCTTGAAGCGGTTTGTTCGTCATGAGATCCTCGCCGGCTAAGATCATCGAATTGATGCTCGGTTCTAAATAGGCCATATTGGCTGCGAATTCCTCTTTCAACAGCATGCATTCTATCCTTAATTTGTAGCTGACGGTCAAAGAGAAGAAAAGATTAAACCTGTTCGCTACGAATCGTGACGATACGAGTGAAAACTGAATTGTCTCTCACTTTGGCACTTGGACGAGTTGCAGAAAGAACTTTTCGGCATTACCAAGCTTCGACTTGTCGCCGTCGAAACTTTTGAGCATCTCCAATTCATCCACCTCTGGCAAAATCTTTAAAAGACCACGTAGCTTCTCCGCCCCGATGTCGTCGTGACCACCCTCTTTTATAAGTCGAATGATATCTTCGTTCGAACTACAGCAATCGACAAGACGGTCGTTAACTAGTTCGAAACCCGACATCGCAATAAATCGTAACTTACCTTCGAAACTGTTTCAAGAATATGTTGACGTTCAGGCTCCTCTTGCCGTCGAGTAGCGCGATCTGCAATACGTCGAATAAGCGAAACGAACGAGTAAAGGTGTGAATAAATTGTAAACGAATGAGGTACCTCGGTCGGTTCTCGACGTCTCTTTTCGGCATCGGAAGTGGCACCGTACGAGGAACACGATGCGGCGGGTAACATAGGTGGTACTTGTTGGCAGAACAATCCCTCCATTTCTGCCCAATCTAAATCCGCCATGGGAGAATTTTGATGCTCGTTCGCGACCAGAGACCAAATGTTGCGTTTACCGATCACCTACGCTCGAGACGATCGAGAGATGAGACACGATCGCGAGTCGCGACAAAGATATAGGATAAGTGGGAGTACCTTGTGATTAGGTATCTTGTTCCAATTGATGGTTTTCATCTTTGCCTTGGGGGTGGGTATTTCCTGTTGCGGCAAAAGTCTCGCGTGATTATTCGGTTGCTCGGGGGTGGGCGCCCGTGTGACCGGTAGCACGTGCAACGGTGGCGGTATAGGCGGCGGCTCCATCGATGCATCGGCGTGCGTCGCGTTGGTGGCGAAAAGGGGCGGAGGCGGTGGTGGCGGTAAAACACGACCTTGATTCGGAGTCAACGGGCCGGCAGGTGGAGGCGGAGGAGGCAAAGGCGGCGCAACCTGCGGCCCCGCTGTCGAATTGTTCACCTGCAACGATGCTTTTCGAGACGTTCCGCACGTCTGATCGGTCCCTCGACAATGACAACATAGGTTCGTCTGCGAAACAGAAGCCCTTTCCTTTTTATTTTGGCCCTATAATACGCTCCGCTAACTATACGCGACAGATTTGTCGATTTACTTGGAGACTAGGTGATCGCAGCAATTTGGTAGCGTCTTCCCGGTTCTCCAGTAAGGTGGCTCTATGCACCAACGTCTCCGCCGTGTCCCACGCTAAGTCGCTGGCGGCATCCTTGGGATCCAGTCGTAGCAGATGTTGAAGAATACTTAAAAAAGGTATTTCTTGCGGAGTATCGGCGATCTACGAACACGTACGAATTACTCGATAAAGATTCGCTCGATTTTACTCTCGCTGGAGAAACTGTCTTGTTTCTTACTTGGCCGAGAATCGCGTAAAAGACATCGACATGAGAAGAAAGATCGATACCCGGTGGTCCGTGATTCGACAATTCTTCGTCAGTTTCTCGTTGATCGTCGAAGGCGTCGAGTTGTACCCTCAAGTCTGGAGAGTGGCTTTTCCTGCAAGAATAATCGTCTTCCTGAATCTGACTACATTTTAAGCCTTTACATAGTTGTTCGCTCTATTTTCGTCCCGCTCGGCCCGAACGTTCTCTCTAGAATTTCAATTTCTACACCACTACGGCCTAGTTTTACTCCCTTGTCGTCGATATTTATTATTTTACCGTCTTTATCGTCGATAACGATACAAACTTTTTCCCCTGTAGTCTCAATGATTTTCTCGACGTAGTTGACTATTTGGCATGAACAACTAAAACAAAGCAAACGAACTTGACTACCAAAGCGACGTTAGCTAAGCGACTAACAACGTTGCGTTAAAAGCGAAGGAACCTCCTCGATGAAAGCAACAAGTTTCGCGCATCGTGTCGAATTGATTCGCATTTTCGTGACGAATCATCTAGACCGTTTCACGTATTTCGATTAGATAAAAATGATAACTGTTATACGATTTACGCGTGCGAGTTCCAGCTGCGCTTCGAAAACGATTTTCGTTTCCTCGATGAACACTAAAAAATATGCAGCTGCCTTTACGATTGTCCAGTCGTCGCAAAATAAGATACAAAACTGCACTTTTCACCGTACATCGTAGCTTTTGCAACGACAACCGATCCTATAAACTATCCTTCGCTGAACAAAACGATCTGATAATCGGTAATTTGGCAATTAATGATCCTAGACGGGATCACGAAGGGAAGTTCACTTTTCAATGGGAATCGTATCGTTCGCTTAAAGAGATAATTGAAATACCAAATAATCGAGAGCTGAGATAGTAGTCCGGCAATCGGAACAGTACGATGTCGACCGTTCCAGCGCAATGCAAGTCGCGACTATGGGTGCACGCGTGTCACGCCGCGAGCTTACTCGTGAAGAGTTAATTTCGGCTTTTCTTTCTCTCCCCTCTCTCTCTCTTTCCCTCTTCTCCTTCGAATCACGTTTTGTTTTTCCTATTCTCCTTTCCTCATTCTCCTCTATTTCACGTTCACCTCCTTTCGATGTCTCTTTTTTCCCTTTCTTTCCCCTACTGGAATCATTTACGACGATAGCATGAATCCTACGGCGCGTTCCTTGTTCAGGAATCGTCGCTTCGAAAATTCGAAGCTAATCGATTCCTTGTATCGTAAAGTAGGACCAAACGATTTTCTTTCGAACGATATTTAAAGCAACTCCTTCGAATAGTTTTTGTTCGATCAAGAATAGTTTGCTCTCGTCCGTCATCCCATAGAGGAACGACGTATCGTACTATTCCTGTAGACTGTAGGGAGCGATTTAAGCGGAGACCTAAAGAAAGCGACAAAACTTGTAGCCAGTGCATCGTGATTCGGCGCAAATACCTCTAGTTCCGATCGTACCGCTGTCAATCGGTTCCCTTTTCTTCGTCGACCATCGATTGCGATCGCGTCGCGGGACAGTATGAACGGGTCGATGAGCCGCGACAACGCGAGCACGACTGTCCAGAAGAGGGTAACTCGTCGCGTTACGCGTAATAACGACGATTGGATTAGTACATGCAATTACCATGTATCGTATTATACGAACGAATGTCTGCTTCGTTAGTCAACCAATCCTCGAGACGTGATCGCTTTGATACTTTTGTTCGGATGCATACCGCGTCTCGATGCATGCGCGATATTAACGTTGGATTAGGTGCAAATGAAAAGGTGTGGGTACAATAAAGCGCCCTTTCGTAACACTCATTATTATTTATTATTCAACGATGTTAAGGTGTTAATCAGTTAATGTCATGAATCCAGGTCGTCGTAGAGTACTTACCGTAGCTCGTTCAAAATCGGAAGAAGCTTCAAGCCTGCGAAAAAAATTAGACAATCAGGTCGAGTAAAGAATATTTCAGTTACGAAATACTGTGTCCATCCATCTTTACCAACCGATGAACTCGTTGCGGATTCTTATACGATCCTTTAGCACGGGCGTAGAGATGACCAAACAATTTATAAACGCTAGCAACGCCGTCCGATAATCCTCCGCAGTGGCGTTCTGCAATTCTTCCACGACGATTCGTAATCGGTAGCGTTCGCCTTTCCGTTTCTGCAATGTTTCGTCGACGATTAACGTCTCGCGTAACTTGTGTACCTATTACGATCATCTCGGCGCAACGTAACGCGTTAGTAAGAATCGTATTTAACGAGACAAAGTCGTAGTCGTTCGTTGTTGGGAACGGAGCTCTAAGAGAACATTACGGTGTAGATCGTTCTTTTGTTTGACGAAGAAAGACCTTGAACCGTGACTTTTACCCAAGAGCTTAGCACGCGTTCCCGTGTACCTACAATGAACCGTGGACGTAACGATCTCTCTCGTGTTCGACGCAACACCTTCGCGATACACGGAGATCCTATCGCAGAGATCGACCAATGGAAGAACTCTATTTTCATTGAAATTATCTATCGAGCTTGCAGCACCTGATACTCGTGAAGAGTGTCGATGGCTCTCTGTCTTCCATCCTGACTGTACACGCAAAGCGCCGAAAGCAATTCCACCACTTGTTTCTTCACCGACGTACAGGCAGTGTCCAAGGCTGAAATTTCACGAGAATCATGATGAATGCGATCGACACTGTGTGCTTCAACTACCGAGAACGCGTTGAATAATTTTTACCCGAGGCGAGCTTGACGCAGTAATCAGGATTATCCACGATGTAATCGAGACCAACGTGGGAATCCATATTGACCGCATTTGTAAAAATCTCTGCTCCGAGTCTGAAATGGAAAGAGGTATTCTTCAAAATTTCATCGTGACAACAATCTTGGAATTATTCCGCGCGAGTAGTCAAATTATGATTTCGTCGCGCGCGGAAAACGGTGATCGACGAGAAAGTCGATAGAGAACGCGAGAAATTTTGATTCCGTTTGGATCGATCGATCGTGAAAGTACGAATCTACGGTAACGAGCCTAGACCGAGGTCTAGGTTGAGAATAGCGGACTGTTTCCACGTGTCCGCTTTGCCGCATAAATACACTGGTATGACTAAGTACTGGAGCAAAAAAATGAAGTACCGAATCGTTTACGCGCGAGGAACGTTGCCCTTAATTGTTAAAGAATATTCGCGAGACAAACGTTTCCGATTCGATGAAATTAGGATACAGCGGCGGAGTCAAAGGCGTCGATATTGGAACCTCGTGCGCTCGTGAGGATACGAAAACACAGGAAGGACGAAAAGAAGAAAGGGAAGAGGATGAAAAGGTAGAAAGGAGGTGGGCAGGAGAAAGAAGATAAGGGACAAAAAGGAAAAGAATGAGAGGATGGAAAAAGAAAGAGGGGGAAAGCGAGGCGAAAGAGTGAGAGTGAAAGGGCAAGAGAGGAAGAACGGCAGAGAGGGAAATATAGGGGAAAGACCATAGGATTGCGTCATCGTATGCATGCACATACCTCTAGTCACGTTTAAAAATAGATTCTCGAATATTATTAAAAGGGCCACGATACATCGTGAACGTTTCGCGACAAAATGCTGCCGAGTCGAAAGTTGCTAGAGACCGGCGCTACGAACGTTGAAAGTAAAGTTTCCGTGGTCGAAAGATTTTTTCTTCGGATGGATCGAAGAAAGATTTAGACGAGGTTGCGATTGCTCTGGCGACAACAAAGGAAAAGTTGTTCCGCGTTTCGAGGAATAAGCATTGCGCGCATTGTAGCGGACGAAACCAAAAAGGACACGATTCGAATAACGATAAGCGAGAATTTGCGAGTAGTATTCCGAATATAACGAGGAACGGAGAGGCTGGTCGAAGTGATTCATGCTGGTACGCCTTGCTACAGCCGTACCAAGTCATCGGAGCTTCCTGCAACCGTGCCTACCGCCGACCTCCAAGTTCGCACTTGCGTGTCTGCAGTGAGCACGGTGCACTTGCGTTTACGGTCACTGGCCATCTTAGGAAGGCCGCGAGTCGATCCGTCGAGAAATGATAAAGGAATAATACAGAGTTGAAAAAAATTGTCGAACGTTTGTTCGTGTTCGGGACTGCAGAGTCGTTGCGTTGTGTCGCGCGAAATGATCTATGGTCGCGTGGCACGGTTTACAAAAGAGACAAGATTATGTTACCCGACCGAACAACTGGATCAATCGAAACGTTGTTTCGACAGAAAATGGAGCAGCGTGGATCGGCAAAGGACGAAGATCGCGCGCGCTACTTACCCGCTTACTTACCGTACTTAATAATTGAATCGCGGGGATCGCTAATAGTTGGCGAGCAAAGACGATCATGGACGTATGTACAAATTTGCTTGTGTATCGTGTGTATTTAGGCATACATATACATGAAATAGCACTCACGGCGGACGTGGGATACCATATCGGGTACCTTGTTGACCTCGCCTCTCTTCTCTGTCTCTCCTTCTCGTTCTCGTTTTCGTTCTCGTTCTCTTTCGTCCGCGAACGTAACAACCTAAGTGTGTGTACACCGACAATCTGCTCTCCTCTCTTCCCACGTCTTTCGCCACCGACAAAAGGAGTTTCGACCGTCGCCAATGTCGTTTCTCGGACGTTTATCAGCGAAAACAGAGAATCGGACGTTCGGCGCGAACCACCGGGATACCGCGCGACGTCGCGTGTCCAGTTTGACCAAATTTGACGCGCGGGAAGGATCGTGGGAACCGCGGGAAATTCGACGAGCGATGCGCGCCGAACGATCGATTTCGGTCGAACGATCGTGAACCGCGCACGCTAAGCGCCACTAACGAGCACGTGCGAGACTCGTCGATGTTTCGGAATCGCTTCTCGATTAATCGACTTCGTAAGAATGCCGCGCGGCACCGACGGAGGACGAAGGTTACCTCTAAATGTCCATGTATAGACGCGATCAGGGACATCCGGATATTTTCTGTTTCGCTCTGTAACGCGCCACGTTTTGTGTCGAATCTCGAAACAGAGAGCAGAGCAGAGAGACGAAAATCCACCGCGATAACTCTCGCTTTTTGTCGACGAAATACGTCGAGACGTTGAATCGACGCATCGATCGACTCTACGATTCGATCCATCCCATGATCCCACGTACGGCTTTATTCGATACAGGCAATGCGTGACAATTCGTCGCAACAACGATCTCTAAGTCGATTTTGATATCGTTGTAAAAATGTTTGTTCGAACAAATTCTCTTTCGCATTGCCGACACGTACTTGTTAATTTCGTCACGTTCGTCTTCGCGTGAAAGTCGGAATAGAACATAAGTCTGCCAATCGTCCTTGCACGGAACGAGCATCCAGTCTGCTGGATTTTCTGTTTCTTGTTTGACCCGCGATTTCGGGGCTCACGTTATTCAAGATCGCGTACGCAAACTCGTTAGAAGATCCTTTCCATTTACTCTGATTTTTATTTACGACGCGTTCTATCCCGCGCGACCATGTATAGCTTTCGTTTTCATTGGAATCAAGAACCATCCCCGAATTTGGGATTTTGAATCATTCTGCACCGATGCGAATTAATCGTGGTTACCTTGTCGCAACGTGGTCATGGCCCCGACTGCTTGGAACATAGTGGTCAGGATCGTCCCCCCTTTACTTTTACTTTTGCGCCTATGACAACCTCTTTGATTCTACGTGTTCGTAAAATTCGGGACCGCGACATTTTCTTTTCTCCAGTTAGTTTTCCTACGGCTAATCGTATTCTTGAAAATTATCATTTTGTACAACGATAAGGTTACAAGTTTTAAACGGACGGTATCTTATTACTATTTAAAATATTATTGTTTTTACTGGTTTATGCTCGTCGTTCGGTATTCCGAAGACAGTACGTATTCGCATTAAGATTCTTGTCAAGGGTTTAGTCGACGTTATATGTTTAACGGTAACGTTGGCGTGCATATTAAGAAGATGCAAAAAAAAATCAACAAAATTTATCTTTACTGCGCGTATAATTTCTAATACTTTCTACGTTTGAATACGACAGTTTCGTCCTCTCTTGCGCAACGATTCTTTCGGAATTAAGCAATACTAAATTGTTAATCCGAAAATGGAAATAGTGTTGACTACATCGACACAGACCAGTAACCGAAACGATTATGAGAAAGAAAAAAGGACACGTGCATCGTTTTAACGATCAATAAATAAAGCACGAGCGATTTTCTTTCAAAATGACGTTTCTTGCAAAGAAAGAGACAAAACGTGACGGAGTTTGACAAGTGTTCAAAAGACGATTTCGAAAAAATGTGGAAAAATGAAATACTAATACGAGTACTAGTAACCTGACCAATAAGATTCTCTTCCTTTCTCACCTTTTATTTTCATTTGAACAACAGGTTGATCGAAGAATGGGTGATCCGTAGCTTTGTTGGCATCCCGATCGCGGTAACACGCGACACACGCACACTTTTTTCGTCGAGCACCGATTCGCGGAAACTGCGTTTCAGGAGCGCGCGACGGACCGCCACGATGCTACGGAATGATTTAATGCGCATGCGCAATTCCCCTCCGGGATCCAACATCTCGTTCTTTATCATACTCAAACAAACAAGGATCATAGTAGTGTCATTTTAATTTGCACCTTTTTCTTTTTCTTAAAGAAACTTAATGCTCCTTTTTATTGTTTTCTTATCATTTCGTTCGATTCGAATTCGTTTACAATTGTTTACAAGAACGCAAAAATGTTTAAGGTATATACAATGTTTAACAAATTTTAATATTTTGTCATAGAAATTGATCGATATCGATTATCAGAGATAACAAACATATCATTTTGCATACGATCATTAAATTTTAGTAATCGTTTGCAAATTGGCATCGATGTTTGCCGTAAAATTCGAGATACGTCTTATAGTAAAAAATACTTTGCAGTATATGCTGCGTATTGTACAATGTATAAATAAAATTTTATTACTTTACTGTGAAGTAATATACACGGGAGCCGTCGACGCGTTCATCGGTTCACAGAAATTGGTTAAATCGGTAAACTAGTAATTTAATTATTTCAAAAACGTTGATGAAAATTTGACGGTTGCGTTGGTTGAGCAGTCGAATAAACCATGCCGGGTGGTTGTTGGTGGGTCATCGCGTGACTCTGGTGCTGATGAAACTCTGGAGCTCCGTGAGGGCCGTTAAGTCTTACCCGCTTAGCGTTTTGTCCGTGGTTATGATCGTCGTTTCCTTGTTGTTGTTGTTGATTTTGTTGCTAAAATTTCGTAACGTACGTGGGAATAAAAATAATATCGAATAAAGCAATATACTTACATTTTGCTGTTGATTTTGTCGTGCTTTATTTTCAGTCTTTTCCTCTGTGTCGTCGTCCGTCAAAAATTCTCGTTTAGGATACGGAATTGGGCATCCAGCAAATATGCTAAAACATTATAATACTCGTTATATTTACGAACAAGTATTTAATGTTATGAAACGAAATCACATGTGATGAAAAATGTACTCTTGCGTTGGCAGTGGTTCCTCTTGAAAGTAGGCATCTTGCATAGAATGTTCGGACGTTATTCGTTTATTAGGATCCATCATTAATAATTTTTGAAGCTGAAAACAGCTAAATTAGTATTATCGTTCAGAAAGATAATTAAAGTGGGCTAAACATATTTAACGGTACCAAATTAAATGCCTTGCTGTCGGGTTTTATTTTATGTCGGTCCATATATTTTGTGAGTGAACAATTTGCATAACTGTAAAAACATATTTACATTGAACTCGTACTTTAAATGTTTTATAATAATTGTTTTTACGCGGATACTAACTTTTGTCTTTTAAAATCTTTCAATAACGTAGGGTGTTCTGGCATTTTCTTAATATCTTCCCAATCTTTTTCCATAGGAAATCCCATCACATTAAATATCCTAATTATTGAGAAATTGTAATTTTTACTTTAATTATATCATAAATTCATCTGATGCTAAAATATAGCAATTATAGTAGTAACATTTAATCTTACCTATCTAACTGATCATGATGATATGGATTGCTAGTTTTCAAGTCTTCCTGTCTACAATGAAATATAGGTTCAGACGTTAACAGTTCTGCAAATATACAACCAATAGCCCAGATATCTGTAAAAAAAACGAAACTTATAAAATCAGAGACAAATACAACACAACTGTGTCTTTTCAATATGGGTGCAATACCTATAGCTTTTGTATAATGCCTAGCACCTAAAAGTAATTCTGGTGCTCTATACCAAAATGTTACTACAACTGGATCTAAATCTGCCAAAGGTTTTAAGGGAGCATTAAATAATCTAGCAAAACCCATATCAGCAATTTTTACTCGTCCTCTTTCATTTCCTTCTCCCATTACTAAAATATTTGCAGGTTTCTAAAGTATTATAAATATGCAAAATTAATTATAAACAATAGTGTATATATATATACAGATAATAATGTAAAAATAATTACCAAATCTCTATGGAGCACCCAATTGGAATGTAAATAGTGAATACCATCCAGGATTTGATACAACAAAGATTTGACCATACCTTTTGGTACCATAACAGGCTTTTTATTAGCCTTCGCTGCTCTGTGAAACTTGATTATATGCTACAGACCAAAATAAAAACCTGTTAAATATAGCCTCAAGGTTTAATTAATGATGTTAATAAAATATAGTTTTAAAAATAATGAACATACCCATAAATCGTGTTCAGCAAAATCAAATAGTAACCATACTTTGCGATCATTATGCGATAGGAAAACTCTGATTAGTGTAATTACATTTACATGTTTTAATTCTCTAAGTAACTATAAAACAAATTGATCAAAGTATCTTCAACATAATAGTTAATAAAATAATACATTAAAGAAAGAAAGATAAATACTTACTGCAATTTCACGACACGCGGACATTGAAAGCCCTGTTCCTTCAATTTGTTTAAGTCCAAAATCCTTTGTATCTGGCCGGGATTTTAATTCGCTATCTGGTACACTATTGAAATTTTATCAACACAAATGCACTTGATTATAACAATAGAAGATAAAGGCAATATAATACATAAATAATGTTATATAAACAAAATATTGTATATAGTAACACGATGATTATTAGGCATACTTGAAGAATAGAATAAATGATTTTTCAAACAACAATATACAAAAACAAAGAAACGTTTAAATGATTGATGTATTCCAGTACCAGTAACATGGAACATTTAAATAGAAATGATAGTTTTCTAATAATAAAAGTATAAATTTACAAAATTAAAAAAATTAAAGATTACTTACAAAATAAACTATAAAGTTGTCATTGTATACTATGAAATTTTTGACGTAAGCTAAGAAATACTAACCCTTCCTTCCTACGAGCTTTATAGACATGCCCGTAGGTTCCTCTTCCAACTTTACATCCTTCAAATTCGAAAAGATCCTCGACCTTTGTCCGATCTTTTTGGGTTTTCATTTTAAATTCGTAATCCATCATGTTTATTATTATCGGACAATTATCAACTATAAACAAACATCTTTAGTTTACATTTGCATACAGAAAGTGATCAACTTTTGCTCATACTATATACCTCGCTCACTGTGCGTTATAATACTGTATACATACATATATATGTATATATACACATCCAATTGTATACGTACATAAATCTAGATGGCAGCATGTACATTTTTCGAACGTGGTGAATCGTAAATTTATATGTATTCTATAACCTGGTGTAGTCGTGTTGAGTGATGTTGACGTTTTGATATCAAACATTTCTGCAACAAAAAGTATTCAAACTAATACAGTTGTAGATAGATTCTGTTGTATATATTAATTACATTTATGAAATGGTCCTGATTTATTAAAACTATCGACATATATAGAGTTACTTAAAGAAATTAAAATACTACAATTGTATTGAACTGTAATTCATGATCAATTATTACAATGTCTGCAACAACTGTGCATAAATTTATCACATTTATAGGACTGATGTCAATATTGCATGCAGCTTATTCAGCTGCTCAGCGTACGTTCTATTTATTTACGTAAAACTTATTTAATCGTAGGTCAATACTTTTAAGTTTGAATCGTTTGATATTTAATGTTTAATTTAATTTTGTCAAATATCATTACAGATCGTACCTATTTACGAATAACAGAACAAGAATTTACCACGTTACCAATTGATGTAAGTATTAAATTTCCCTAAAATTTAGTATGTGAAGTATATAATTACTAATAAATGGTATTGTTGAATCAGATTTTAATACAGGGCATTGTCAGCTTATTTATGGTTATGTATGGAGTGATGTACATTGCTGGTGACTTCAAAGAAATTCGAGCAGTGGTTGATTTGGAAAATAAATCTTGGGAAACATTAAGAAACCTTCCATCGTTTCAAATATTTAATCATCGGGGAAGATCCTTATCTCCATATTATGCACAATAATGCTTGTGTTAGTAATATTTATTTCAAAAGTAACATAACAGTGTAAATTTTGTGAAAAATAATTTACTTGTAATGTTGTTGTAGAGAATCATGATTCACACAATAAGTAATTTAAATATTTATAATTGATTCAAATTGCAAAATAGGAAACAAATAAAAGGAGACACATTTTCTATATTTAATAGCTTTAAATCATGTATTTAAAAATATGTGTAAATGTACATATACTTTCTAAACACAGCAGTGAAGTACAAATAAACGGAATATGATAATTTCTTTTCTTTTTTTTACCCATATGTTGTATATTTATTTTATGCAAAACATCATCAATGAATGAGTAATAAAAGTGCAATTCTATATAAAGACATCACTTTTTCTGTTTCTTCTTTTCAGCTTCTGCTTCTTTTTCTTTTTCAATTTCAGTGACATAATCTCCAATCGTGTCTGAATCTAACATCTACAATACGTAAAACATTTTTCAATGGCATAATTTTTTTGTATAAACATGTAAATACATATTGAATTTATACCTGTAGTGGTTGGCCACGTCGCATCACTGCAATTTCTAAATTTTTTTTCCCTGATTGTACTACTTCCAACAATGCTCTAATAGCTAGTTTTATGGTGCCTTTCTCTGTTGCTACTTCTTCCGGTGTGTAATATTTTTGTAAAAATTCATGAACAGTTTTGGCACTTCTACCTGTTGCATTTGCCTTTATAGAAAGGAAAAAAAATAATTTTATTTAATTCATATTTCTTATTTGCTGCATAATCAATATTCTCCCAAAAATATACCTTCCATTCATAATAAATGCCTGAAGGCTCTGTTTGATACAAGTGTGGGACACCATCATAATCGAATCCAGCTAAAAGACACGATATTCCGAAAGGTCTTCTACCATTGCTTTGAGTGTACTTTTGTTTTAAACCTAGAAATAATGAATTAATTTATTTTAGACACGCATTTACTCAACTTGCAAATAATAAAATATATATTTGCTTACTTGCAATGTATCTAGTTATATATTCCAACGTAACAGGATCTTCTACAGTTAATCGATGACTTTGACATTCTACCTGTGCACGATTAATTAATACTCTTGCATCTGCAGTTAAACCTTTAAGACAAAATAATTTGTATTAAAGCATGATAAGCTCGTAAACTAATTCTTAATTTGATAGTTTAAAGATTATCTCAGATCGTACCTGCAAATGCCATTACAACATGTTCATCTAATAGACATATTTTACGAACTGTTCTTTCTTCTTGTAACTTTGCAATAGATTTTTTTTCAACTCCTAAAACGACTACATCGTTACCGCGAACTCCAACCTGAAATAAAATCAAATTCATAGAAACATCTCTTTTAAGATGAATGAATGGTCACGTCATGATACGTAAAAATTATTTTAATTTTGCAGTTCAAGTATTCTCGAACGTTACTTAATAAAATTACATCTAAACAAAATGTATTTGATCAAGAAAGTGTATAGAATACGGCACAAAATTGATTGCAAACAAAACAGGTTAGATGAAATTTGTCACCGTACCGCTGAAGAACCTTTTCTGACGGCTTCTTGTGCATATTCCACTTGAAGCAAATGTCCATCAGGGGAAAATACTGTTATAGCTCTATCGTATCTTGCTGTCATCGTTTTAAGTTTCTAAAAACTACACTGAACCTATTTAATCCACAAAATGACTTCGCCGTTTTCAAAGAGATTGCTATTCATCCGCAGGTTTGATTCTTCTTTTTACCGATAGAGGGTAACAAGACATGACACGCTTTTCTAACTCGGTATTTCTGTAGCATATCACTGTACTGTTCACTCATTTTTTTTACAAAATCAAATTAGATTATATTTCAAATCGGAACAAATTTTTAAGTACGTACTATTTAAAAATATTATACGAGTGCATTATCCGTGCATTATTACGTAATTGTATAGATATCACGATTTCAGTTATTAATCCTTCAAACTGTTTTTTATAACGTACAACGCGAAACATTGTCTTTATCTTATGAAAAAGTATATTCGAAATATCGGCTCGAGATAAGTATATTTTCGAATAAAAAGAGTGATATAAAATATAAAAAGTGCATAAATTAAAATATATCCATTTTTATTAGTTTTAAAAGTGCTAGAAAAATAACGCTCGAGCGAACATCGAGTTTAAAAAGGAAAAGTAAATACTTGGGAATAAATTTTACAATTCATAATTGTATTTCATGTGATTGAAAGATTGTAGTAAATAATGTTACAATAAAGAAAAAAAGGACAACGTTATTTGGCATCGAAGATGATAAATATAAGAAGATAACGATTAGGTCGAGAAAGTGATGGTGCAAGATCTAAAGAAACCTATGGACAAAAATGGTTGCTTGTTTCACGTGCACGAGAAGAAGTATGTGTAATTACGATTTAAAGAGAAGAAGACGAAAGAACAGCATTTTGAAAATGCTCGAAGAAGTTAAATGAATTTGAAGTTGCGAACGTAAAAAAGTAGTGGGGATGAACAAATAGAACCTGTATTGTAAGCAGTATAAAAGGCGACGATCGGCTTGGTGAAACGTTTAGTCAAGGTTGAATGCTCTTCAGTGCCATGTTTGTTCACGCAACATGATCGGGTTGGTAAAAAGTTTTCTAACATTTGTGCTTTATCTATTTTCTCACGATCCATTTTCATTCTTTAAAATTTTCTTTTATTTCGCTCGAGCACCTATTTCTCGTAATCGATATTGAAGCGCGTTATCTTATTTCAATGTTGCAGGTAACAATCTAATGGTTAAGCAATTGTACGTGTAAATGTGTCATGTTCAATGATTGTTTAAAAATGTTTTAACTCAGTTTATTAGTGTCTGGAAACATTCAAGCTTTTTGCCGCAATCACGTTCTCCACATATTACGCATTTTACGCAATAGATACACATTATATTGACCGATAACAATTGCATCACTGACTATTACTTTGTCTTTTGAAATCAGTTGCATTACATAAAGAATGTTTCTTTGCAATGTTACGCAGATGTATTATACATAAAATCTCGAAAGAGAAAACACCTCGCTTCGATCGAACACGTTAGTTTTGAACGTAAGCACATTGCTGCTCACGGCGTTACTCCTCCAATTTACAAGCGTTGGATTATCATACATTATCTGCACGAAGTAATAATGTAAATTAAAAGAAAATTGGGGTATTCAAATATCATTATTTTCTAGATAACTAAGCGACTACGAATTTTCTACGTAATGTGTATGTACGAAGTTGCGGCGTCGCTTTGCCGCAATCTTTGATAATATAATATTTTACAGCGCTAATTATTATTGATTCTATTAAGTTCTTCGCTCGTTTTTCTCAATAATTTTTCGCTAATAATTCTTGGACAATATTACGCGTTTCGTCGAAATTCATAACGTAACAGTTAGAAAAAATGTTTGATATTCTTCGGACTTAGTTATTTCGTGTCAATAATTGACACTTATTCTATCTTCTGCACGAAGGATAAATCGTAATCGAAAGAGGCGAGAAATAAGTTAATCGAGCCAGTGATATAAGCGCTTGTTACGCGCGTCTATTTCTCGCGAAAAACTTTATTACGATATTTGTTGCAATTGGGAAGAAGACAATCAATCTCTTACAAATTTACGAACAAAAGATTCCTTTCAAATGAAAATTCGACTTCAATTCAAAATTCAAATTAAACGATCTTACTCGAAGAGAACGTAATTGCAATGATGAACTATCGTTTTATAATTACCAATTGAATTCACTGAAACAAAAGTATATTTTACACAATAATTTACATAACATCGAGTAACACGATAAATCGAAATGATCGATTACGGATAGACTTGAAGTACTTTTTCATATTTCTTTCGATGATACAACTTTCAACGAGCAAATATGAACTCGTTGAGGTTCAAAGACTATCGTAAATATTTCTAATCAAATTAAAAGTATCAAGAAAGTTGTCGTCAAAATATACTCTTCACGCGTTACTTCGTTTCGAAGATTAACCCGATCATTCCTTCCTACGCAGACTAAGCAAAAAGAAGATTTTAATATATGGGGTGAGCATCGCTATAATTTTAGGCGTGATCATAGCAATAGTAATCGTTTCACTCGCTCACAATTCAGAAAATAGAAACGACTCGAGTGACGCCTCGTACAGCGGAGCATATAGAAAGGTAATTAATGATCGAGCTTATTGATATGGTGCAAAATAAACTAATCGATCTTGATCTTTTGAAGGCTGCGGTATCTACGAATGGACAGGAATGCGCGCAAATCGGTGCGGACATGCTTGCCAGAGGCGGCCATGCCGTGGATGCGGCTATAGCTGCGCTTCTGTGCGAAGGAGTCTCTTCTTTGCACAGGTAACACCCCATCTTTATTTTTCTCTCTTTCCCTGCTTCCCTGAATCTAAATTATTCTTTTGAACATAGTTCCGGTGTCGGCGATTTCTTTTCTTCCGGAATACCAACGTTTCATCAATGTTACAATTAGTTCCAACTGGAAGCGTACGACTTTCGGAGTACCGATTGGATCCAAATTTTGAACTGCTCTGGATGTTCCTTTATAAGGAGACTAAAGGCAGTCAAATCGTTTGAGCATCAAGTACTTTTGCTGAATTAATTCCAACGAGATGGAAGTAACCACAAACTGTCGAGTTCAATCTTTTATTTACCGCGCCGTACCGTCACGCTCAATTTTTGCAGTGCACACGGCGCTTTTTCGCTATCGTCTTCATGTCTTTTACGCACTTCTAACTGTGATATTTTATTTTTGCAGAAATAACAATAATATTTTGCAACCGTTATTGAATATGTATCTTAATAAGTATAGTGTTTTCCAACAACTTACGCTTCACCATAGACTATACAGCAATTAATACATTATAATCTAATCTGTACTTATTATCGTTTTATGATCGTTCATAGTTTGGACTCGATCGATGATTCGAAGGTCATGCGCTTCTCTCGTTGGTAATTTAGCAGGATTAGCTTCGTAATTGATAGCATTATTTGGTCCTGAACAAGTAAACTTCGTAACAAATTCCCAGTTATCTTGATAACTCATAAATCTTCCTCCGAAATTAAACATAACATGTTTCTTGACGAAACACAGCATGGGATTAGGCGGCGGATTCTTAATGACAATTTGGGATGCTCGCACAAAAACGGCAGATTATTTGGATGCGCGTGAAACAGCTCCATCCGCGGCACACGAAAACATGTTTCTAAATGATTCAAGAGCGTCAATGTATGGTAAGTTATATCTTGTTACTACTATCGATACGAACGTGTCAGGAGGATACAATGTATGTTACATTCATACGAATATTAACAAAAGGTGGTTTGGCGATTGCGGTACCTGGCGAACTTCTCGGTTACTGGGAAGCGCATCAAAAATATGGAAAATTGCCGTGGTCTGAATTGTTCGAACCGACTATTTCTCTGTGCGGCACTGGATCACACGTAAACAATTATTTGGCAACTTATTTGTCGAACAAGGAATCACTGATAAGGGCAGAAAAATCAATGGCAGAAATTCTCATAAACCCTGTTACCAATTCAACGTGGAAAGTGAATAGATTCTTTCATTCGTTATCTTGATTCTTCATCTACGCATCGATCGATAATAATAGAAATTGGCTGGTTGTTAGGTAAACGATAGGATAAAAAGACCACGTTTGGCGGAGACGTTGAAATTGATCGCCGAGCATGGACCAAAAATATTTTACAACGGCACTATGGGCGACGTTCTGGTTGAAGAAATCCGAGCCTTCAAAGGAATCATCACGAAAAACGATCTAGAAGATTATAGGTTTGCCATTATTGACAGCTTGTACGAAATATTCGAAGGCAGAGAGATTAACGTTTAAATTATCCTAGAGTAAGATGGATGAAACCCATCGAATCGAAGATTGGGAATTTAACCGTTTACACTGCACCACCACCGGGCTCTGGAGCGGTTTTAACTTTCATCATGAACGTTTTTCGCGGCTTAATACCTAATGCCGATGTCAGAATCACTTGGCAATATTTAGTCGAAACGTTTAAATGGGCTTATGCCAGAAGAACGGAATTGGGTGATCCAGAATTTGTTAACATTAGTGAGTCAGCATCTTATACTATCTTGGAATCATCAAAGATAATCACATAAAAAAAAATACGCGCATTCGTTACATTGTTTTCAGATAAGCGTGTATGATAAGCGTCTGTCCAACTGTTGTTTTAAACATTACAAACGCATTAAAAATATCCGATATTCGTGATAAGCGATTAATGCCAAAAATAACTCGGAATGTGCGTTATTTTTTTATTTGGTCGAGAATTTCAGATATTCTATTTACTTAACTAGTAGAAAGAGATTAATTACAATAGTATCTTATGAATGAACGCGTTATCGCTGTTCTTTCTAAACTTAACACTAAAGTGCTGATAACTTTTTAGCTTCTTTAATTAACGACTTAACGTCTATCGAATATGCCCGCGCAATTCGAAGGAATATAAAAAGTAATGAAACAAGTAACGATCCAAGATATTACGGTGTCAATATGACTATGCAGGAAGATTCGGGGACCAGTCATGTTTCCGTTCTGGCTCCTGATGGCTCAGCGGTATCCGTAACGTCGACCATAAACCAAGTGTACGTGAATGCTGTTAAATTTATGCTTTCCAGTTTTAATCGCAAATGTACTTTTTATTGTACCGTATTATAATTTCACAGACTCGGCGCGATGATACGTTCACCATCGACTGGAATAATATTTAACGACGAAATGGATGATTTTAGTTCACCCAACAGGAGTAATGGATTTAATCTACCTCCTTCGCCAGCGAATTTCATTCGCCCTAAGAAAAGACCTATGAGTTCTATGAGTCCAACGATAGTTGTAAGTACTGGTTAATAAGTGAAGAAGTCTTTGTATTTGACGAATGTATCGTGTAATCTTCCATTGCGATTACATCGATGCAGTGTACGAACTTACAGACCCGATGCTTTTTCATTTCTTTCTAAAGGTTGATGAAAGTGGAAATGTTCGATTGGTAATCGGTGCCGCGGGCGGCGCGAAAATTACGTCAGCAGTTGCAATAGCAATGGCATTAAATCTTTGGTCAGGGTATAATGTAAAACAAGCGGTTGACGCGCGCAGAATTCATCATCAGGTAAGTGGAAAGTTGTAATTTGATATCAATGCTATTGCAATATTATCCACTCCGCAACGCGATACTAATCGCAAGTTCATTAAAATTACAGTTATTACCAATGGCTATTCAAAGTGAACACGGCTTTTCTCCAGATGTGTTAAATTATTTAGCCAGTATTGGGCATAACGTTACCACTTACACAGGAATTGGAAGTGCTATTACAGCAGTGTCCAGAGAAAATGGAAAAATATTTGCCAGTTCAGACTTTCGTAGAGAAGGAAGAACTGCTGGTTTTTAAACGATCGGTTGTGCTTCGTACTATCGATGAACAGAAATGTATCAATGCGACAAATCAAGATGGTGCATGGACATGTCTTGTTTTTAATTAGAACACGCGACGAATCGTTTCAATAATTGACATTGAACAATAAGAGCCCGATAAGAGATTATTAAAACCGCAACGGTAAATTCTTATACACGTACAAAATACCTGATCATGCTTGTTTTGTCAACTTCTCAGAAAGTATTAATAGGATAAGTACAATAGAGATTTTAATGATAACACGTAGAATAGATGTACGTTGTTTTAAACGTAACATCAAATTCGATTGTTGAATTTGTTATTAGACTATTTCGTGTATTTGTTACAATAAATGTTTCTAAAAAAGGAAACTGTATTATAAAAGGAAAATTTATTTAACACAAAAGACTTATAGGTATACATGTACAACACTTTATAAATAATGTGCTCATCAAATGTCATCGATACGAGAATTTGATGGCTAACATTTATCCTGTATAATATTATATTAAATAATTTATGAACTATTGCTATCACTTTCAGAAAGCTCAGCTTCCTTTTTCACTTTTCTTACGCAACTTTTTACTTTTTTGGTTTTACAGAGTCCTTGTTTCGATTTTCTGAGTACTTCGATCGCGTGCAGTTTCTTTTTTAAAGCGTTCGCCTTATCCTTCTCTCTTTGAGGTATATAATCATTGATACTTTTATCGTTAATGGTAACGACATTACTAACTTTAGGTTGAGTAGAATCATCGTCGCACTGTTCGCTCCTTGGTGCTCTCTTTTTCTTTTGACTTTCATTAAAAGATTTCAACTTCCGTTTTGGAGGTTGTGATTGCCCGTCCTCTGTGGTTTCAGAATTCTCTGCGTTATCGTTGTTCAATTTTTGTACAGCTTTCTGAACTCGTTTACTCAAAGTCATCTCGATCGATTGTGGAACAGTTTGTAATTTAAAATACATATCAATTAACTTTTGGGTTTTGTTTTCTTCTAATCTCTTCTGTACAGGTGTCATAACTGCGTTAAATTTGTTTTTGTCCCAAGCAAATTTTTTTTTCGTATAGTCGTACAATAGCATCATGTTAGGTTTACCCCAAGTAAAACCCTCTTTTGATTCGTCTACTTTTGGGAAAAGGTATGCTTGTACCACAGCTTGACTCGGAAATCCTATACATGAGATAATAATATCATGTAAATACGTGTAACTATAAAATAAATTCAACGTACCTTTATGAACTTTTAAGTTCTGCAGTTTGGTTCGTAAACCCGCTTTTCCAGGAGCTGCTACTTTTCCTGTTTCAACCCACGAACAAAAGTCTGCTAAACCTTGCAAAAGGTTGTCACCTTGTGAAGGAAATGCTGCTAATATTTCTAAGGCAGTAACAGGTCCAATACCAGTTAAACCTACGGTATAATCACTGCCAACTAAAAGCGCTAGTTGTATCATTTCATTCCTTGTTAATTCTAGAAAATAATATTCACTTTTAACTCAGACTTTTAAATCAACTTTTAAGATTTAATGAAGAGGAAAATATGTTTGACTTACTAAAATGATGCTCTATGTCACCTAGACAGAATTGAAGAACTTTCTTATTATTATTAAAAAAGTTTTTATAAACACATTGTCCACCGAATAACCAAATATCCGAATCGTCTGTAATTGTACCATCGGTGAGATGAATTTGTTCCAAGTATGCACATTGCGCCTCTGCCTCCATGGGCGCCACAATATACGGTATTCCAAATAATCGTAACAATTCCTATCGATAAAGATTTCTGTCGTATTTCATTGAAAGAGTAAAGTAGTTACTAGTAATTTATATAATCATACCTGAGCTTCGGTTCGTATTCGATCAGAAATATCGATACCTTGTCTCTCCAATTTTCCGATATTTGCCATCAACTCAGTTTGTTCATCCTCTAGACGTCCCTGAAATTATATGTAAGACACTATACAAAATTACCCGTGACTACATTTAAATATAAATTAACAACAGTATACCTTTAAGGATAATAATTCGTCTTCGGTCATAGGTGTTGGACTTATCCTTTCAATGACATTCGACGTATGCTCATCTGCATTATCTCGCGTATCTGTAACTGGCGTGTTACTTTTCTCAGATTCCCTTACGTGCTCCATATTATTCGTCTCTTCTACTTCATTTTTTTCCAAAGGTACATTTACTTTTTCACCATCGCTTTGTATGATCTGTATCTCAAGATCGTTCACTTTTGTGACATCAGGTAATTGTTTATCTTTAACTTGATCTTCCGCTGGTTTCAAGTCCGGTTTTGTTAAAGTAATTTCATTCCCTAGTGTTTCGTCTACACCAGGTAACTTTTCTGCTGTTTCTGTCGGTATTTTATTAGACAATAATGTATCTTGAGAATTTATTTCTGGTTTCGACTCGCTATTTGGACCCTCAAATACATCAGCAAAGATATCATTTTCTATTTTTTCGTCAGATTTAAAAGTTATTTGAATCCCGCCTTGGGAAACATTTTTATTGTTGATGATGTCTGGCATTGGTACGTCTTCTATCTCTATAAAATCATCCGTATCTGAATCCGTTGAACTAGCCGTTGTTACTTCTGTTGATTTCACTTCTGATACATTTGAAACATTTGATGATAGGTTGGTATTTGTTACAGTGCTTAATTTAAATAATTCTGTACTCTGCTTATTAATAGATTTTATAACTTCTGTAGAATCGGATTTCGCACTTTCTTCGTTATTTTCGGTTTCTGAAGTTAAAATATTTAATAAATTATCCTTTTTCTCATGATCTTCTGTTTTAAACAAATTTTTACATGCTTTCTGATTGTCCTGTTTATTCTGTTCGAGAAGATTAAGAATTTGTTCTTCCGGTAATCCACTATACTCTAGCATGTATGTCAATGCAGGATTCGCAAAATTTTTTCCAAAATATTTTTTTGGTAGCGGTCGTGATTCGTTCAATTCTACTTCCGACTCAGTATTACTACTCGCTCCCATCGTTACTTCAATATCGTTGTCCCATTCGTCGCTAAGTTCATATTCATTTATATCATCACAAATTGATATAGTTTTACTGGAACTAGCTACAGTTTCATCAATCTTATCTGCATTACTTGCATCAATTTTATCCGTATCATTTGTATGAACTTCTGTATCGATTTTCTCTGAATCACTTGTATCGCTTCCATCGTTCGCGATATCATTACTATTGTTTTTAAAATATGCACTTTTATCTACGATAGAAAAATTGTGAAAGACAAAAAAAACAGCCGGTTTAAATATAAAAACTACTTAAATTTATGACGTACCGCTTATATATAGCAATCTAGTTGTACTGTCCGAAGCAACACGATAAGTACAGTTCTGACCATTAGTATTTATACCCTGTTCTTTTAATAATTTATCCAGTTCATCCAATGTAAGTGTTTTTCCGCCCATTTCTTTTTCTGCAGATTCTAAACTTTCTTGAACTAATCTACGTTTTAACAAACGTTTCATTTGAAAACCAGAAAATTCGTGAGATTCCTAAATGAAAAAAATGTATAAGGAAAAGGTATACAATAAACATTTATCTAACACCGAAAATGTATATACCTCAGGCATTTCATGTAAACGACCCCATGAATTTTGCTTCCTTGTTTCCTTGAGGTCGGTAAGAATTTCATAACGCATATCAGCAGGTAATGCCTTGAATTCGGCACTACTCACGTCTACGTTATGAATGTTTCCAATCCATTTTGTTTGTTTTCGCGGACTCAATTCAACAGATGAATCGGAATCGTAATCATCGCTAAGACTTAATTGTGTTTTACTAGTGCTTGGTTCATCTGGTAATTTAAAAATATCATCCTCAGGATCCTGATTTGGCAAACTTAAAATTATTTCAGAAGAACCACTATCTTGTTTCTCTGGATTAAGAACTGTTTTCACGGCAGAATGCTTTATCAAATTATTTATTAATTCTGTCCTCATCTGTTGGGCTTTATTCTTGGCCATAGATTTCTGCTTCCTGCGCAAAGCCTGTGAACACACAAGAATAGGAGTCTTTTTTTCTCGCTACCTGGTTCCCACAGCAAACTAATTACGTACAGACAATATTATAATCAAGATAAAAGTACAGTTGTGTTAATACATGCATGCACAATGTAGTTAGTATGTACTATTTGAGATTCGTGACAATTATATTTTATAATATAAAATCGGAATAAAATTTATTAAATGCATTGCCATAAAAAGTTATAATCATGTCTTTTATGTAATAGTAAATTAAAAATATATTTACAATGGTGTTCTTTTTAAGCATTGGCACACCTCCATCAAAAACAAAGACTGGTTTTATCCTGTAATACAAGAGTTTACATATTCTGTAGAATAAACCAATAAGATGCGCATTGGGTTTAGGATTGCCAAAGCGGTCTTGATATCCTTGTAATACTTGATGTATCCAAATTGATATATCTAAGAATATACAAAAGTACAGATGTTATTTCATCAAGTATAACATAATTATAAGCAAATGTTCAAAATTTGTGAACTTTTGTTATATAAATATCAATGTATAAATATACCAATAGCCAACACTTTTCCTTCGAGTGTCTCTAAAGGAACTTGTTTTCCTGTTTTATCAAGTAAACGCCACAGACCATAAACACCCATTGTGTAAGGTGAAAAATCTGTAAAAAAAAATAATACATTTAAGAAAAAGAAATGTCATATGTTGTATTAACTGACATAATATAATATTATATATTCTGATATGAGATATGTTTCCAAACACTCATAACCTAATTACTAAACAAGTGGTAAAATAACAGAAAAAGAAATCTTAAATTTATTAATATTTTATATAAAATAACGTTATTCACAAACTTATTGCGTACATCAATATTACACCCTATCAAATCGTTTAACATTTATAAAAAGTAATAGGTACCTTGTTGTGTACGTTCTCACCCAACTAGACATCGCACGTACCGGTCAGCTGATTACAAAAACAATGCACTTGTGTTCGGACTGATGACATTTGCATCTCCATACCGGTTGAGAGAATTAAAAATTAAGATAACAAATATGGGCAAATATTTATATTAATTATATATGTTTATAATTTATTTCGTTTGTCTTTTTAAACGTTACTTAGGATATTCTGTTTTCACTAAACTACCTCAAAAGTTTGTCTGTAAAATAGCCACGTTTATACAATTTAAAGTGCTCGCGTTATTTTTTCCATTATTGCTATTACAGAATGTATAATTCTACCGTATTATTTATTATCTATGTAAATACCATTAAGATGCCACAAAATTTACTTATTATAAATGTCATGCAAATATCAAAATTAATATATTATTGTATGAAATGTTTGGTAGATATCGGAAAGAACGTATAATTTTCTCAATTAAATTTTTTTTTCAACATAGAATACAGGCAATTTTTATGTTTCGTAACATATACTTTAAAGAATATTGTTCATTAGTTTGTTTAAATATTTTGTACAAATGAAAGTGTATATTTACGATAAGATAAAAACTATCTATAAACTCATAGAACGTTAATTTGCCTAACCACACGTATGCGTCCTATATTACGCAGTACATATCAAGCTGTTGGCCGTTCATGTGACTCGTACACAAATACGGAACGTAATACGTAAAATGCATATGTGTGTTTCACATATATTCTATATGCATGCGTGTACACATTCATAAGCATGATGTACTTATATATCGTATCGTCATCATCAGAGAAGCGAAGTGAGGTAGAGGCCACCCACTCTTTCCCACAGCAGGTTTTTCCCACGCCCCCCAGGGTAACCCCAACATCCTTTTGCGGCAGCAATTCCAGGGCATCTACGGGGCAGAGGGGAGTAACTCACATCAGGTGGGGAACAAGAGGGGAAACTGGAGGCGCTTGGGTCGACCGGGCCATTGTACAACAGTAAAACAATAGAATCTGCAACTCAGTAACGTAGCTATTTACAACACTTATACACTAATCTGCTTCGATTAATATCTCTGACCAATTAATAGCCGATATTCAAATCTTCCAGACAAATTGAAATTATTAAAATTTTATCATTATTTAGTAACGTAAATTGCAATTTTATAAAAAAAATTGTAATACCTCTCAAAAATGAAAATTCCTTTTTCGTTTTTAAACATTTATATCCTATTTTGAAAATTTATGAATATAATGCAGTCAATATTCATCATTTATTAAGAAAAATAATTGTTCAAAGCGTATAAACGAACTGTGAGAACTGTTCGGCTTTGAAGGACCTTACTATGCTGTGTAGCTACGTTCCTGTTGCAGCCACTTACGCGGTAGTAATAACTCTACGTGTCGTTTCGAACTTAGTTACTCGGCGAATACCGCCGGGGTAGGTTGGGTGTTTTTCGGCCGGTTTAATAGAACAAGTGTTCGTGATTTGTTGTTAGAGGCAAAGACATTGTAAATACTTTACAAATAAAAAAATAACGTATAGATTTTATGATTGCGATTGTTATTAATTTTAAATGGTGTTTTAGAATATTACGGTTCAATTTTAGATTTAAAGTGGCGCGCGCGGCTAAAATAATGTCTAAGAGTTGGTAAGACTGTTCGGAAAATTCGGAAAGTGAACAGGTGTTTTTTGAATGGATTAGGGAGAATAGTCGACGAGGACGCAGAAGGATTCACGAATGGTGAACGATCGACAAATGGTGTAATATTTGTGAATAATCGACAATTTAGAAAATGCATTGGGATTTATGTTTCAGTTCGAGCTATTATGAAAAATGAGGTGAGCACCGAAAACGTAACCTGTTTTTGTACAATGTAACTTTCCCTGTATTAAAAAGGTAAATAAACGATTTTTATCGAAAGGACTGCATAAACCTTTTGTTTATAAAATGTTTATGGTCCATTTCTTATATCGAAAAATATATGAAAAAGAAATGTGATATTCAGTTTCTGTTATCAAAGTTTTCATATAGAGTAAACTCATTGTTTTTAGTAAATTTCTTTTAGTAAAAAACTAATTTGCGTTTAACTATAATATTTTAAATGATACAAAATAGAGAAGAAATATGTAGTATTAATTATATAGTGGTTGTAAAATTTATAAGACTTAAATCGGTTTGTCACTTATGTATTAATATAAATGTCAATATAGCATTAATGTGAAACATTGAATCTAGTTCAATGATTTTATGCAGAATAACATGTCTATATTTCTGTTTGTTCTACATTCAGTTAACTTACAAGTGTAAATAACTTATATCAGCTAATAACTGACATTATAAATTTTACTAGGAAGTGTAAGATTTCTCTTTCTGGATTATTATTTCTGTTTGTCCTAAACTATTATTACATATAATAAAATTATACATTTTTTTTATTAGCAATGATATATACGATATTAGAAAATCAAGATAATGGTGAAAAAATATATAATAAGATATAAAAGCAATGAAACAATACCTTTACATTTGCAAGCACACAGATACAATTGCACAGACACAATGAACAAGGGTGATTTAATTCATGCAGGAAAAATGAGCTCAGCTTGGTTCCCACAACGTATACGCGTGTTTCCTTTTTCCTGTGCTAAGACTAGCAATTCTTAGTAACTCATTTAAAGAAAGATGCCTCGCGTTAATTACATCTTAGATCGTGAAAAACAGAAATCTTTCTCACGCTAAAGTCTTCGACTAGCAGCATCGTATGTTTCTGTGTCTATTCGAACCTGTGTATATCTAATAACATAGCTTTGTCTTCTATTACACTATTGTATCGTTACACTGTACTTCTTAACTTATATTAGACTTTTTACAACAAATTGTTAGCAGTTACTACATTTCATTTTTTTAAAACATATATCTTTTAATAAATAATTGTACCATAATTAGAAATACAAGAGAGACAAACTTGTAGTAAGATTATGATTATCGAATATTACCTATCATAAGCTTTTACATTGAAATTTATTTCAGGTAAATCAGCACAGGCAATTATGACAAGCCATAACATAGATGACAAGGATAGCATGCAGCCAACCTAGCATCTTTGTTGTACCATAGAGAGAATCGAATCGGAGGTTAAATATGCCACACCAGTTTGGTTTGCCTACAATGGCACATGGAATGCAATCTCCTCCGTCGCCGACCTCGGTGATGTCGGTTTACCCTCGATATGGATCCGGTGTCTACAGACCGGATCATCAAGATCAAAGGTTGACACGCGAAGCGATGGAGCGTTATTTGCGCGATAGAAGCGACATGGTTATCGTAATTCTTCATGCTAAGGTTGCGCAAAAATCGTACGGTAACGAGAAACGATTCTTTTGTCCACCACCGTGTATCTACTTGTTCGGAGATGGTTGGAGAATGCGTCAAGAACAAATGCTTCGCGAAGGAGAGAGCGAACAGTCTGCTCAACTTTGCGCGTTTATCGGAATCGGTAACTCGGATCAAGATATGCAACAGTTAGATCTCAACAACGGTAAACAGTATTGTGCGGCAAAGACATTGTACATTTCGGATTCGGATAAAAGGAAACACTTTATGCTTTCGGTGAAAATGTTCTATGGTAGCGGACACGATATCGGCGTGTTTCACAGTAAAAGAATTAAAGTGATCTCGAAACCGTCTAAGAAGAAGCAATCGTTGAAAAATGCCGATTTGTGTATCGCGAGCGGAACAAAAGTGGCACTGTTCAACCGATTACGGTCCCAAACGGTAAGCACGCGTTATCTTCATGTGGAAAATGGAAATTTTCACGCGAGTTCCACGCAGTGGGGTGCATTCACGATACATTTATTGGACGACAACGAGAGCGAATCGGAAGAATTTCAAGTGCGAGACGGTTACGTGCATTACGGTAGCACGGTAAAGCTGGTATGTTCCGTAACTGGAATGGCGCTTCCGCGTTTAGTAATTCGTAAAGTGGACAAACAAATGGCCAGTTTAGAAGCGGATGATCCTGTTTCACAGCTGCACAAATGCGCTTTTTACATGAAAGACACGGATCACATGTACCTTTGTTTGTCCCAGGAACGCATAATACAGTTTCAAGCTACACCGTGTCCAAAAGAGGCGAACAAAGAAATGATAAATGACGGTGCTTGCTGGACGATTATCAGCACCGATAAGGCGGAATATCAATTTTTCGAGGGTATGGGACCGGTAAGATCACCGGTGACTCCGGTACCGCTCGTTCACAGTTTGCATCTGAATGGCGGCGGCGACGTGGCGATGCTCGAATTAACCGGGGACAATTTTACTCCGAATCTTCAGGTGTGGTTCGGCGACGTGGAGGCAGAGACTATGTACAGGTGCCAGGAAAGCATGCTCTGCGTGGTACCCGATATATCTCAATTTAGAGGCGAATGGTTGTGGGTACGGCAACCGACTCAGGTACCTGTTTCGTTGGTTCGTAACGACCAACTTTGCGCGTTTATCGGAATCGGTAACTCGGATCAAGATATGCAACAGTTAGATCTCAACAACGGTAAACAGTATTGTGCGGCAAAGACATTGTACATTTCGGATTCGGATAAAAGGAAACACTTTATGCTTTCGGTGAAAATGTTCTATGGTAGCGGACACGATATCGGCGTGTTTCACAGTAAAAGAATTAAAGTGATCTCGAAACCGTCTAAGAAGAAGCAATCGTTGAAAAATGCCGATTTGTGTATCGCGAGCGGAACAAAAGTGGCACTGTTCAACCGATTACGGTCCCAAACGGTAAGCACGCGTTATCTTCATGTGGAAAATGGAAATTTTCACGCGAGTTCCACGCAGTGGGGTGCATTCACGATACATTTATTGGACGACAACGAGAGCGAATCGGAAGAATTTCAAGTGCGAGACGGTTACGTGCATTACGGTAGCACGGTAAAGCTGGTATGTTCCGTAACTGGAATGGCGCTTCCGCGTTTAGTAATTCGTAAAGTGGACAAACAAATGGCCAGTTTAGAAGCGGATGATCCTGTTTCACAGCTGCACAAATGCGCTTTTTACATGAAAGACACGGATCACATGTACCTTTGTTTGTCCCAGGAACGCATAATACAGTTTCAAGCTACACCGTGTCCAAAAGAGGCGAACAAAGAAATGATAAATGACGGTGCTTGCTGGACGATTATCAGCACCGATAAGGCGGAATATCAATTTTTCGAGGGTATGGGACCGGTAAGATCACCGGTGACTCCGGTACCGCTCGTTCACAGTTTGCATCTGAATGGCGGCGGCGACGTGGCGATGCTCGAATTAACCGGGGACAATTTTACTCCGAATCTTCAGGTGTGGTTCGGCGACGTGGAGGCAGAGACTATGTACAGGTGCCAGGAAAGCATGCTCTGCGTGGTACCCGATATATCTCAATTTAGAGGCGAATGGTTGTGGGTACGGCAACCGACTCAGGTACCTGTTTCGTTGGTTCGTAACGACGGTATCATTTACGCGACCGGCTTGACGTTCACGTACACCCCGGAACCTGGTCCTCGGCCACACTGTCCGCCTGCAGACGAGATCATGAGAGCGCCGCGAACCATGCACAATCAAGCGAGTATGCCACCCGCGATCGCGGACGTACCCTGGAACACGCATCAACCGCCTCAGTCGGGTCTCTGATATTTCCTAGATAATTACAGTGTGCATCACCAAAGTTTACGACCTAGTGAGACGAACGCTGTTTCGAACGTTATTCATGCTCCGAACGATATTTCGACTTCAGTGGATAACGAGTCGATCGGCGACGATACTAGCTCAACGACCTACGCGACGAAGAATACGTTGCTCCGAGTCGATAACGCGGTAGCAACCTTACACGATACGAAGACGTAGCGATTTTCGTCGCGTTGTATCGTGTTGTTTCGCGTCATCTCACCTCCCGCGAAACGTACTCCTCCGTGGATATGTACAATGTGCCGTGTATCATTTCCCTATGTTTATAATACGTAGGTTCCTAGCTTTAAGCGTTGATACAGAGCGTTACACAGGGATTAGAATTTATAGCGATCTTAGAATTAAGAGCTTTGTACGAATGTGAATAGCTAATTATTTGATAGAACGGAGGAATAGAACGGATTTGTTAGTTCTACTCCCCCGTCTTCTACGAACCATCTAAATTTACGGCTTAGTCCGTACAGTTCCATATCGATCGCTAACACTGGTTGTGTATTCGACATCGGTCCGACAAAATCTCGTTGTCGAAGAAATACTCTTTGATTTAAATGTTCGAGTCGCGAACGCGATACAACAGACTTGCGATGCATTCTGTACGCGTATACATTTTACACGTTTATAAAGCTCTATAACCGAGAGAGTCTTGCGATAAGCAACACCGTTTCGTTTATCGCGAGTAGACGACCTGCGAGCGTCGAAGATACCGATTTAAGACAACAGGGAGAATCCGAAGGTAACATCATGTACGCGTTGTTCAAAAATTTTCCCACACTTTCTTTTCTCTTGTACAGTACCGAACACTTGGCTTTAACTATAAGTTTGCCTTTGATTCGGAGGTGTGCTACGGTTTTGACGTACAACCGCGTCGACGTAAATTTCGTGAGATAATCGCGTTTGCGTAATAATACGCAAAATTACATGTAATCTCAGAGAGACATTTGCAATAGTTTTACAAAATTATCTGCATGACATAGGAATTAATTTAGTTTTAACGGGGAAGGGGGGAAGAAACGAGTCGCGTTTTAAGGTCTCGTCAAAATTACCTGTGCCACCTCGACTAATTTATCGCGCTCGGGTGTATCATGGTTTTCGTTTACCGAACATTATTTATTTCTATACAATATATGTTATTTCCCCGACGACACATCTCGGATCTTTAGCTTTTCTAACGTAGACGAATATCACGTTACGCACGCTTTTTATTAATCTCGCTCTATTTATCGGCACGTTGGTTTCTCGAAATTCGCGATATCGTTTTACAAACATGACCATGCGCTTCAAAAGGTATGACACGTATCGATGCATTTCGGATGGTTGAGACACAAAGATGAATCAACACACATATATATATATGTGTGTGTATGTATATATGCATATATATATATATACGTTTTTATGTCTCTCTATGTTTTACAATAAATTTGAAAGATTTCTATAATAAAGCCTTTTGCTTTACGACCTGTACACGTTACTTCCAGATCCCAAAATCTTGTATGTTTCGTAAGCGATTGTTCCACTCGATAATACTGTTATAAAAAAAATGTGCGTTCGTTTAAAATCGGTTATAAAGAATACTTTGCTAATCTTGCGTATACGAGGCGGTAAGAAACTTCTGCAGAAATGATAAAAATAAGTAAAAAAATGATCGGTTACAAGCGATTCGTTTCTTGACTTCTCGACTGCCGTCGAATCGGTACAGATTTTTTTTACCAGATACCATCAAATATAATTATCTGCAGCAGGAAATGAGATAGGATCGCTTTGGGAATTGTTTTCCCAAAGAGATCCATTGTAAAAGAGGAATGTCGGTCTATGTATACCATGGGAATTTACCCACGATTAAAATTTGCACCGAGTACCTGAAGAATACGATTATCTTTATTCACAGTAATAAACTGCGGATTATTAATAATTACATCCTTACATGTATCAGTGGACGGATAATCGATGAATAATCACTGCGATTCGTTACGTCGGAACATTATTTTTGAGCATAAGTTTTCGTACATATTATGTATATAAATACATATACATGTAATTTAATTCATTTTCCGAAGAATTTTCATCGATATAAAATATTCTTTTGGCCACGCTCGTAGCTTTAATTGCACGTAACTTCGTCTTTGTCCGATAGAATATATTCGAAGGTGAACTTCTTTAATTGTATCTCCTACATATTAAAATAATACTTTACAAAACTACATGAAAATCTTATTTGTAAATAAATCATGTACAATTTCTTCTTTTTTTTCAGCTAATCACTTGTGTACACGCGAATTTTGCGATATTTCTCGAGTTCTCAAAGTGAATAACATACAAACACGTATAATACGCACTTAAATTATAGATTTAAAAAGTGACTATTTCGGTATAAAACATTTTTCATCGCCTTGAGGAGTTCGTTATTTTCAATACTGCATAGAAATCGCGTACGAATTTATCGACAAAAATGAATTCAGTTTTAAACGTGAAACGTGAAGTTACCAATTTTCCTGTTACTCTCTTGTAGTTTTACTTTGCCGTTTTATACGCTTATACGAATTTACTTGTATGTTCACTTGATTCGTATTGTACGTTGTTTGTTCATATTCGTGAGCATCAACGAGATGTACGAAGTTAACAGGTCATCCATTTTGTAACCCAGCGAAGTTTCACACAATAATTTCGAACCACGCACTAAATTTCCGATCGTCATATGGAAGTAAGTGTTCCCTGACGACCAGTTTGAGATTCTAGTGAAGGGATGCGTGATCAATATGTCCTGAAAATAGAGGTATTCGCGTGAACATTTTACTATACATTTTCCGATTATATTGTATAATTAAAAGTGCATTTACTTACTTTCGTTTGCGGATGTATGAGACTTACACCGTGCTTGTTTATCGCGATCAGTAACAATTCCGGATAATTTGGTTCTGTACTTTGTTTAACTTCGAAAAATGCTGAACCGAATGTTGGCCATCGATAAACAATTTTCAAGAATGTTATCTTTGCGTCTTCGGGGCTCATTCCTACGAATCAAAGCATTTACATGTCACAAACGAGATTTTAAAGTACGAGACTCGAATAAATGACAGAAACACGTGTTAATTTAATACGTCGCGTTAATAAACGCGAGGGTCACCGGATAACCGACACCACCAATTTAATAGACTGAAAATGATTAAACAGGGAAGAATAATTCTGAATGACGTTAGTACTTATTGTGCTAACAACGTGTTAATTAACACGTTACTGGCAGTAAAAGGAATCGTGCATATTACGACGTATTATAATAACAATTATTTTTGTACATGTATTTTTCCTTTTCACGATTTTTCGATTAGATCTAGTAGAATTTTGTCTCTGCGCGTTGAAATATAATCGAAATAATGCCTTACCGGCATCTTGATTGTACGCCGCTATTATCGATCTTTTCCAATCGTTAGCGCTTTGTACCTTTACCAAATCGCCCGGTATCAGTTCGCGCAACATTTGCCTGTAATATAATTCACGTTGGATCAATGTCTTATAAGCTCTTTTCCGAACAGCGTATGCGTTTCACTTACGGTATGGCTTGAAGTTCTTGTTTACTTTCTCCGAAACGAACTCTGTATACTAATGCAGCTAATCTCGAAGCTTCTTCTTTCGTACATTTATGATAACCTATATGCGAATGAAACAAACGTGCAGTAAGATTAGAGACAACGACGCGATATGGAACAGGATGCCGATGAAACAGAAATCATTCGTACCTCTTAACAATTTAGGAAGTTCTTGATGAAAGTGGAAAATAAGATCAGCATTTCTGTCTTTTCCTGGCACGGTGTTGGTCCACAGTTTCTTCATGAAGAAGACTTGATACGTGAATTGGGGCGATACACCTACGATACGAATCTCGTAAACTCATGTAACTGATCGAGAGAAATACTAAAACGAAACAGAGTGGAAAACATACCGTCACGAGATGGTCGAGCTTTTCTGATCCAATCCGTTAAATGTCGCACAAAGTCGAAGAAGAAATCTCCTTCCGGAACCGAGATGACTTTATCGGCAATCTTCACGAACAAACTAAATCCTTCCGCGGATCGTAAATTAAGTCTTTGCGCGATATTTTGACAAAAATCTTTCGCTCTCGTCGATGAATCCACTTCAAACGCCTGTGTACGATGAAAAATCACAATCAAATAATTGCTTTCTCAATTAATAGTATAAAAACGGAAAAGAAAATCGTGCGCATACTTCGTCAGTGTCATCGGGAAAATATACTTTGTGAAATATTTGGGTCGTTTTATGTTGTATAGCTTCTACTTCCACCTGGTGTGGTGGATATTTCCGTTGGCCATTGCGAAGGGTCTTTTGCAGCCTTTGCAGAGAGTCTTGCGATATCGGATGTCGTCTCGTTCGCAAAAACAACGTCAACTCCTATCAACGATTAAAATTTCGCAGGGTTCGAATAAATCGATGAATGCATAAATATCGAGAATGTCACAGCGTGTACCTTTAAAAGACTTTGGCTACAAGTGAAGAGACCAGTGGCGAGCCACATCAGTTCCCATCCACGTTCTTCGCTTAGCCTGTTTCGATTGTCGGTGAGCTGTTTCATGATTTGACAGTAAATTTCGTCCCGAAGAATTTCGTTTTTCAGTGGTCCGTCGAAAATAAGATCGGTGTATTCGTTACCGATACGCGGTCGTTTGGTCGGCAAGTCTCCCATATATTTCAAGATTGCGTTAAAAGCGAAACACGCTTCCTCGGCTAGTTCTTCCTTGGATATCAACTTCTTCAAAAGAGGTTGTTTTATCGGATCCCTCGAATGATGCCATAACTCGTCGACATGTCCGCGTCTCGCTGTTGTCAGAGTCAACGCTTTTGACATCGTTCTCTTTGGAGGTGTTCTATGGCAGAAAATTCCTCGTTATTCATCGTTGTTGCTAAAAATTGATGAAAAACAAGCAAACAGAGTATTTACCGAAAATGGTCGATGGCGTATTCTAATAGAGTATGGGGCTTATCGCGAGGTTCTACTCCGTTCACTTGTTGCGGATACAGTTTGCGACCGTTTTCAGTTCCTTCGATGCTGAACAATGACTAAAAAAAAAGAAGAAAAATCGATTCGTTCGATCTCGAGTAAACAAATGGTAAAACAGGATGCGAGAAGTCATTACCAATATATCGTTCGGAGGTTTCGTTAACGAAGGTAACACGTAAACCGTCTCCGCTGGAAAATCGCCCTTCTCGCCGGTCCTTTCGCAAGTACCTACGCACCATCCCGAATTGAGAACAGTCTCGCCCGTACTTTCGTCTTCCAGAATAATAAGATCTCCTTTCAGAAAGCTGAGGAACGACGATCCTTCACCGGGAGCTTTGTAATCTTGCAAAGCGATCACGTATTTGCTACGTTTCTTTAGACCCTCCAAAAAGTACACCACCAGATCACGAATATCCTCGGCGTTTGGGCTTTGAAACGTGAATTCTTCTCCTCGCACCGTTGACAAGTTGAACGTTTGCGTGAACATCTTGTTCGTTCTGGAAATAACGACGATACCGTAGCAAAGAGTGAACTGACGGAGCGGGAGAGAAGGATAGATAAAAAAAAAGAGAAAGCGGCTGTTACTATTCGGCAAAGAAAAGCGTTACGTACTTTTGACTAGATACGGTGGTGATTTCGGGAAAGGATAATTCCAAAAGCACCTGTTCTTGATCATCGACGACGTACACACCGGTCCAATTCACGGCTATGATAACGTCATTTTTCGGTAGATTTGGTCCAGAATTCCTATACGCTTCGTAGAAACGGGAAAATAGTAAAGGCCACTTGAATTTTGCGTAGCCAACGATGTCCTCCTTGACTCGTAACGCAGGTACTTTTTCTTTCAGATAATAACTCTGCAATATAGGACATATTAGGAACGCGTTTCTTTCGAAAAGTATATAGAAGGCACGGAAAGTTAGCCGCCTTGTTCACCTTTTTGTACGCTTGCAAAACGAGATGCCCCCATCTGTCGATTGCCTTGTCGATGCCCGTTAGGCAATAATCCGGAATATAGTTGGGCAACAGAGTGTACAATCTTTCAACGTTCATGTCAGTGTGATATTCGATATAATACTGTTGCGCGGCGATCATCGCCAGATCTTCTTCCTTGTCGCAACGATATTCACCAAATTTCACACCTCTAACCACCTGCTGATAAATTAAATTAGTGGCGACTTGGTCTTCGGTCGGTTCGTGCCACGGCGCGAATATCTCTTTTCTAAAGAACAATCTCCACGGAGCATTTCGTTCTTGAGCACCTTGCTCCTTCGCATACTGTTCGCACTGAGAGATCGCGTCCATCACATGATCTCCTCCGCTGCCGAGCGACGAGACCTTGTCGAACAACGCGATGTAAAGAGAGAAGCCAAACTGATCGCGAAGAGATATTTTGTCGGACAGTTGATTACAAAGTTCCCTGGCGGTGGTCGCCGAATCGGCGAGAAGCGTTTTGGTGTTCCCGTCCATGAAAGTGATGGGTAACATGATCGGTTTCTTCGATTTGGTAGCTTGGAGCTCCAGCCAACTAGGCGGTTGATTACGAGTACCATTGTTAAACGTTCTCTTGAGCCGATCCTCGCAATACGGCGCGTAACCCGGCGGTCCCTCTCTGATGAACGCGCGCAAATAGTTGACGAACTTCTCTGAAGGAGCGAAGCATCCGACGCAGAGCGAGAGGAGTATCCAGCCGCGAGCATGCGACGACTTGGAGGGATTGTTGGTCAGTTGCTTGCATATCTGACAGTATATTTCGTCTCTCAGTTCTGCTCGCAATATACCGTGACCAATGATGAAGTGAAGCTTTTCGAGATTCGACGTGGGTCTCGCTTCCAACCAGGATTGGTAACTGTCCGCCGTGTATTCGTCCTCCTGTAATTTTCGCCTGACATCCTCTCCCAATTTGTTTTTCCGTTTCAACGTCAGCGAGACCAATTTGTGCCTAATGGATCGTGGCTTTTGTCGTAAAAACGTTTCCGGGTCCATTCCCATCATCTGTGCCTCCTGAAATTCTTTGCTTCGTATAAAATTACGACCAAGAGTGGCCGTTACTTTCGACATGACCGATGTCGTGTCTCTGTCCATCGTGTGGAATCTAGGCTCGGGTAGATCGCCCGTGAATCGGAGTATGGTGATCCACAACGCTTGCGCGGCCAGCTGATCCCCTTGAGTGTGCAAAGGCAGCAACGGATGTTTCAACGGTTTTCGAGAATATTGATGAGTGATATTTCCTTGGAAATAGGTGGCAGCAAATTTTTGGAATTTGAACTCCGACAAATCCTCTTCGTCCTCGGATGCTGTTTGAACGGGACTAATGATCTCTTGTTGATCCGCTTTCGGCGCGGGTAGATCGTTGAACACGGAAGTTTCCCTAGCAGGAGTTGGTGCTTCGCTGCTGGAATCTGGCAAGAAGTCGAACATCGCCTCCACCAATTTACTATCGTCTACCGGCTCGTCTTGCTTCTTGGCCGCATCGTTGATCAGATTCTTCTTGATTTCCATTCTGCGTCGATCTTCCAGTTCCATTTCAATCTCTTTCCTCTCCAATTCTTGCATACGCTCCCTATAATTTTGCTCGGCGATCTCTTTCGCTCTCTTGTTACCTTGGTCCTTCAATTCCCGTTCTTCCTTCTTTCGAAGTCTCAACGCTTCGACATGTAACCGATACTCGTACTTGATTTTCTTGTATCGTCTTTGCGCGATCAATCTCCTAACGTGAGCCTGTATCTTCACGATAGCCCACAATTTTTTCTGGAACATCTTCCGAACCAAATAGCCTCTGGCTCGGGCCTGAAGGGCGACAATGTGTCCCCTCAGGTGTCTGAATCTGTGAGAAAGTACCCGCGATCTAATGAGTGCCTGAAGTCGCATGTAACCTATACGCATGCGTTTGTATCTCTGTCGTTGCGCGTAACCTCTCCAATACTTTTGAACGATGGTCGCAGCTGCTCTCGTGCGAAGGAACCTTCTTCTGTACACCCAGCCACGTATGTTTCGTTGCAATATCAAAATCTTCCGCGTCAAAACACGATCACGTTCCTGTTCCAAGAATAAATCGTGAGCATCCTTGAGAAAAACTTTCGTATGGCCGAGTTGGTAGTCCGACTTTCCCAATACTACGTGACAAATCTTTGCGGTGACCGCGCGACAATCTACTTTATGCGCCGGTGGAATGCCTGGTATGAGAAACCGGTATCTATCGACAAACTCGGGAAACGAGTGTCTAATCGGATAACCGGCTCTACGAATTCGAATGGTTTCCATCATTCCAGAATATCGTAATTGACGGCAACAGAGGCCCCTGTCAAACATCATCGGTTTCTTGAATTCGTTGGGTTTGATGCATCGGATAAAAAACGGCTGACAACTGCACAACGTTCTCATCAGAGAGTCCAAGGATTTTTTAAACTGAGTGGACAAGGTGGGCGCCCTTTTCCTAGTTTCCGAACCCATACCTATATCTTCGACAAAACAGGTTTGCAAAAACTTGTTCGATGTTATGTGAATCAGTTGTAACAAGTCGGCGCTGAACGTGTCCCGGTTCTTTTCGAGAAAGCTCCTGGTATCGTAAAATACCACGCCCGCAAAATGATTTAACCCGAAAGACGTATTGATGTCCGACTTTGGCTTCAAGTAATTCCGGTGACTTCCGTGCGTTTTATGTATCTTTGCCAGCATCGTCTGATCCGTGCCCTTAGGAAACTTTGACTCCTCGTCGATCAGAGCCATGATGTTCAATTGCTTGATAGCTATCAGATCCAACGCGTCCTGGTTGTCAACGAACTCGATGTGTTGCCAATTGATACCCTCGTGATTGTATTCTTCTTGTTCCAACTTGAAAATGTGTTGCACGAAAAATTGTTGGAGATTTTCGTTCGCGTAATTGATGCAGAACTGTTCGAAGCTGTTGTGGTTGAAATTTTCGAAGCCAAATATATCTAGTACTCCTATGGCGCTCCTGGAGGTGTTCTTGGGCCTGTAAATGGCCTCGTTAATCTTCTTGACGATATGCACGAACAGTCGTCCGTAGATTCCTTTCACGAACGCGTCTCTGATGTCCACCGATTGCTCCCTGGACAACGTGGAGACCTGCACACGCGGTACGATCGACACGTTAGGACGATACCGTCTGTTCTAGCAACGAAACGCGTCGCTCGGTTTCTACCATTACGCGTATCGGCTCGCAACGCGGATAATTCGTTACTTACGACTGTCTCACCGTGAGCGAATATCGTTTTTCGAGTAAGCGCGTCTATCAGCGACTGAACGGGTACACCCAATAGATGCGCTACCCTCTGCACGTTCGTCTGTTCCGGGATTTCTGTAGCATCGAGGTTGTCTGCGGAAGCAAAGGTTTCCGATACAGATCGAAATAATACGAAATGGAAGAAACGTCGTTTCTAACACTTACCTACGACCGTGGCCCTGTACTTGACGTTTCCCATGTGCAACAAGGCGGCCAGTAACTTGAGTATCTCCCATATCTCGCTATCGGAAAATAAAAGAACCTTCATGGCTGACCTTATGTCGGCAAATTCCGCGGCATCGTCGCGACCTTCGCAAGTGATGCTACCGCCCTAAACGACAGAAAAATACCTTATTACGATTAGCTAGGTTGTCGCTGATTCGATTCGCGTTCGCGTTATCGTGATTCAGACGTTACCCCCGTTAAGTATTTGTAGGAGGACGCGTCTTCCAGTTCCAGTTTTTGCTTTTCTTCCTTCGAGAGACCAGCCAGCATGCAGTAAAATATATGGTAGTTTCTCTCGTCCAAGCTTTGCGAGACTATTCGCGACTTCTCCAACAAATACTGCTCGATCTTGGCTCCTTCTATGACTCCTTGATCGTTGAAGTGAATATCGATATATTTCCCGAATCGTGACGAATTGTCGTTTCGCACCGTCTTGGCATTACCGAATGCTACGAAAAGAAGATAATGATTACCTTCGCAATCGAATCGTTAGTCTCTTTTCTACTAACGGATGCGAGCGTTTTACCTTCCAAGATGGGATTCGCTTCCAAAATTTGCTGTTCGATCCAAGAATGTTTGCCGCTGATCGCTGCCAAATATTGTAAAATTAATTTCGTACTTTCCGTTTTGCCGGCTCCGCTTTCGCCACTAAGACACAAATATTCGTAAATATGACGTAAATATGAAAACATCGAAGACAGCCGTTCGATAAATAGTTTCAGAAGACGGAAGAAAACGTCGGCCAATACCTGATCACTATACACTGGTCTTGACCATATCTGTTCATGTGCGCGTAACTGTTGTCCCCGATGGCGAATATGTGCGGTGGCAATTCTCCGATTTTACGATCCTTGTACAGTTTGATTTGCTCGGCGGTATAAATAGGCAGTATCTGATACGGATTAACGGCGACTAGAATGGAACCCGTGTAGGTCTGTGCAAGGAAAAACGACACCGTACAGAACTCGATGCTCGACTACGCGACGTTTCGTACAGTTTCGATCATCGCTTACATATATGAGATTCTCGTTGTAACGAATCAACAAATTCCTTAGAATGCCCGCTTCATGGAGGTCTCCCAGGCTGATCATGTCCTCGACACCTTGCACGGAAGTGGCGTGCATCGCCTTTATGCGTCTCTCCGGAGTCAGCCATTGTTCCTGAAAATTTGAATCGCGCTATCGGAACAGTTTTTCGGCGGCCACTCCACGCATCTCGACATCGTCTCGATCGTGAGCTTTCGTCAGCGAGCTTCTCGACCGGTCGAGACGAATTCGAGATCAGCGCGGCAAAGTAGGTAACGATTACCTTGTTATCGTCGTCTTTCACTTGGATGCGTCTGCCTTCGGCGGAAATTACTCGAGCTCCGATCGCAACGTCAAATTCTCGTCCTGAGATTGGCTCGATCCATATGTAATCTCCCTGAAACGTAATTTTGCGTTTGCGCGTAATTTCCTTCGCCGTTATTCCTACCCCATGGAACAAAACCGACGGAAATAACGAGTCGCGTCGAAGATTCGAGATTCGTCGAGGAAATCGTGATTCGCACCTTGGGCGTTTTAATCAAATAACCAATAGCGGACATCGCCGAATAGTCCGACAAGCGCGCACCACGGTTGCCCCTTTTCCTGCGCGCATCGATTTCCATCGAACGGCCAGCAAGAATAATTGTGCCGTTTCGAAGCGATTGATCCGCGTCGATTTTGTCCGCGTTGATTCTATCGGACTCGCGACGTTTCCCGTTTGCCGCGATCGCGTCTTCTCGTCGTTCTGGCCGTCGTCCACGACAGTCGATAATCGCATTAACCGAACGAACCAGTATTACTCCGGCTTCCGGTTAAGTATTACACCGAACGCAACGCGATACGCGTTAAGTATCAGGCTGGACGGCTCGCTATCGCGCTCTCGATGCTCGAAACGAAACGGCAAGAAAATCGTTCTTTTTCGCGTTGCCGGAGAATCTATCGGTGTCCCGCGAAGCGAGACTAGTCGATAGGACAACCGGTGAACGTAGTCCGATGGTCAAGGTGCGCGAAAATCCCACAAAACGCGTTCAACAACTATTCGCGCTAAACCTTTCGTCCGTGTCCAAGAATATCCTCAAATTGCTCGTTGCTCCGCGTTCATTACGAACAAGTATCGTCTCGTTCCTAGGCCCGACAACCGCTTAAGAGATACGAGTTTCTTAAACGAGAACAACAATGGTCCGTTTTTAGCGCGAGAACTCGAGATAACCTCGTCCACGAGTTCATACGTCGCGTCGCTCGAAAGAAAGTTTGAGAACCTCTAGCCTAGCTTGCGCTCGGTCTACGGATACGCGTACACGCGAACGCGCAGCCTGTGCTTGATATTCGTATACGTTCCGATTGTTCACCACTCCGGAACATCGGAAGAGCTCGTCCGTTCGTTACGAGCCTCGAACCGAGCCTCCGTTCGATTTGGAGCTTCTTTTGCCGCTCGGCGCACGATTTTACTTTCGGCCGTTTCTCGACGATCGTTTCTTCGACCGCGAAACGATCTAGACGAAGATCTTAGTAGACGACCGGTCTCCATCCGAGTTCTGTTCGAAAGACGAGCCGTAGGTCTCGCGAAAGAACGCGATCGTTCTTGATCCGATTAGTCCGTAATTGATGCGACAAATGCGATCGATAAAGATTATCGCGATCGATACGGGAAGCGCTTCGCAGCATGATCGATTCGTTCGAGGAAGGTCGTACGCCTAAAAAGGTTAACGCGGAGCGTGATGGTCGAAGGGAAGTTAGAACGATAGGCGTGAACGTGTTCTAGCGCATGGTAGCGCGCGCACGCGAATGCACACGGGGAAGAATGGAATACGATCGAGGGTACAAACGCGTGTCCGGTAAAACGATTCGCGTCCCGTTATACGACGGCTGGTTCGCTCGCGCGAAATGCTAAGGCGCGTTCTACAGGGCATTCGCGAAGTGACGAAGGACCGTTAACTATGCCTAATTAACCGACCATTCGTCTCGATACGCGTTGCGCTTTTCTGCTTGCTTTTTCTTCGAACATCCGATACGACGATCGAGAAGACGGAGAAAATCGCGGGAAAACGAAACGAACGAAAGAAGAAATCGAAAGAAGCCAATCCCGCCTATCTCGCTTTAGGCGCATTCCAGTTTTATCGAGGCATCGAGGCACGAACGCGTCCAACGAGGAAAGCGATCTCCTCGATCGAACCGGCTCTCCTCATTCCTGATCAACCTGTCGTTCGACGATGGGACACCTAACAAGAACATCTACGGACTTGCTCGAAAGGTCGATCGAAATCATTTTAATTTCGTTCGATGCGAAAGACGCGAATAGGTCCAAAGCGGTTTAAAAACTGGTGAGTCGCTGCAACGTCGAGAGAGCTCGTCTCTCGAACGTGACTTTTCATGCGGAGAAAGAATCCGAGGACGGTTGTCTTCGTCAATTTCACTTGTCACAGATTCCTACTGACCGTCTTCGAAGAAACGGCGACGAAAGAAAGCGCTGATACGGTACGTATAAAGGCGCCAACGTCGTTGGATAGTCGCTTGTATGCGCGTGTCGCGATGCGATGGGGAGGAACAGCATTTCCCGAGAATACTCACCCGCGTGACGATGACCATCTCTCGAGTCGTGGTTGTCGGCACTCCACCTAGAAGAAAACAAAACTTTTCCTCTCTTCTTTGGATCGCTCGTTTAACGTAACCGACTAACTTTCTGAAAAGCTCGAATAGTCGAATATCGAAGATTTCGTATGTCATAGTCGACGATACGTGATACCGTCATCTTAGAAAAGATGGTTAGCCAAGCTGTATCGGTCTTTTGCCAAGACAGTCGTTCCTCCACCCGATATGACCACACAATCCCCTAACTAATTTTTTTCTCGATTCCCGCTCGATCGACATCGATCGTTGCGACCGGAAGAGAACTCGCTACCGGCGAATAAATAAATCAACGGGCGATCGTCGAATCTTTGGTGCATCTATTCGGGGAAAAATCGTTCCAACGTGCGACGATCGTGTGTCTGGCCGATCACCGTTAAAGTGGAAGCAGTACGAGCATAAACCTGTTCGCAAAAGTGGGTTAGGCAGTTTCTGCTGTTACCACGTATTCGTACACGGTTTCGAGAACGTCCATCGAGGATTCTCTCGAAGATGTCAATTTTCTGTTTCTTATCCGTCGACCTCCTATCAATTTTGACGCTTCTACTCCGTCTGGACCGCTTCCCGAAAGGACTTACTCTAAAGACGCCGGCGAAATAGTAATTTACGCGTCAATGGCATCGACTTCGTTCGCTAAAAATCTATTGTCCATTCGTGTTCGAATTATGTTCGCACGAGTAACTTCTGGGTCGACGAACCGCATCGATTTTCTCTTCTTTCGCGATCGATTGAGCGCCTCGTTCGAATATCGACAAGAGCCAAATTACTATCGCGTCTTAGAAAATAATATCGTTTCTCTCGAGTGCGGAACGATTCGATTCGATGACGACTCTAAACGGTAGGAAAAGATAGCAGCATAACGTACAAGCAGTACGAAGGTTCGACATTTTTTCTCAATTTGGTGAATCGAAATACGGTTCGATACTTTTTGGCGGTTGATTTTAAAAATACATATCCGGAGAACAGAGAGGTGTAGCGGTAGTACCGCGTGCAGGAGACTTTAACGGCTGATCGAACGACGACGCATGACCGTGCGCCTCCGTTTTACCGAAATATTACGCGAAACTCGTTCCGATTCGAGTAATTTGTTGGAAACAACGATAATGGAAAAATATTCCTGATCGTTTTCGCGCAATTTTCATTTATCACCCCCGAACAAATTTAGAATCGTGTCTCTCGTTTACTCGGTTCGTTGATTCGAGCCTTTGCTTCTTACGTCACGCTCGCTTTCCACGTGTGCATCTTTGCTCTATTCCACTCTCCTTCTTTGTTTCTCGATTCGACTCGATTCAACCTGACGTAACGCGATCTGTACGCGAATTAAGCAAAAAATGAAAAATAATTACGTACGAATGTGTGGTGCGTTTGCGAAACGTTTCCCGCGAGAGAATACGCGCAGCTTCGAAACGTTACCGACAGAGGGAAAACCGATCTGGTTCATCGGCGAAAAGTCAGACGTGTTGAGTATGCGATCGTTTAGTAAACATTGTAGGATTTTACAAGCGCGAAACGTTAGTTTTATCTAAAAGTTATGCTTATCTTGCGCGCTTATTATCGCGATACGAGTACGCGGATATCTGCCATCCAGAATTATGCGAAACGGTCATCGCTCTGCAATTTCCTTGAATCACCTTGATAGGTATCGGTATCACCGTGCACGCCGTATTACGCGTATGTAGTTTGCGACGAATGTTCGTTCCACGCGTGTTGGATTCAAAAATATCACGCGACAGCTTATTGATAAAAGGAAATCATCGATATCGATGCGGTAATAAAACGATCGGCTAATACATCCGTTCGGTTTACGAGGAAAAAGGACGCGACTCCGCGAACAACGTCAAGATTCTTTCGAATGAAACGTATACGTTTGTGTGACGACGAAATTCCTTACTCTCGACTATACGAAATTTCGATAAACGAACGTCGATCGCGTACGAACGAATAAACGAATTGAAACGTACCTTGTGCGAGTAACGAGAAACACGACGAAAGCGGCTACACGATGTCGGCACACTCCATTAAGAGGCACTGCACTGCACTTCGGACGCGGTGTAAAGCGCGCTTTTCATGTCCGACGTGACTGGAGATGATCGTCGGAGCTTGGCGCTTGGCAAAAGCGACGAACGTGGAAAGAGGGAAGAACGCGTACCGTGCTAGGAAATGGGACACGAAAAGCAACAGTAGTCGTTACGAAGAATGGGCCACGGTGACCGGCACATTAACGCGTCCACTCGGGGAGCTTCGGTTCGAATCGGGCGTGCCAGGTGGAAGAGACTGGAAGAGGTGGAAAAACTACCTTGAGTTAGACCATGATCGGCTTCGACTACGCTCTGCCCCACCAAAGCCCATTCTACCTTGACAACCGTTTCAGCTCGATCATCGAATCGTCTTTCTGACGACTCTCGCTCTATCTTTGAGTCCCGCTTTGAACATCTCTAAATCTTCTTCGATTCTTCTTTCGATCGTGACGTCATCGCACTCGGGATGCACCTATCCGCATATGCCCCCGTTCAACCTGTGTACGTGCAACCTGTTGCGATTCGATGCCATCTACGATCCTCTTCGTCGTTCTCGAGCAATTTTATCATTACCGATCGAGACTCGTGTTTGCTTTTGTCTTATAGTCCTACAGTACCGACCGCGATTCGCTTCGAAACCGATTCGAACTGGTTCGCATTTTTTTTCCAATTCGCTCATTATCGATCCGCGCTGTTCGGGTAATACAGGCAAAATGAATCGCTTACATTGAAAATATATTTTCATTCCATACGAACTTCACATGAACATTGTACATACATATACTGTGATTTCTGTAATTCGTAACATGTACATTAATATGCAAAGTATTGAAAATTCCAGCAACAATAACAACATTGGCGACGTTATGCGTATTCGATTAATGATTTTATAAAATCATTTCTATATATAAACATGTTCTTCCTTATTCTTCTTCGTACAACGAATACGACGCTTTCTTCTCAACCATCTATCTTTTACGAGAGCAATTCGATTGGTTCTGTACTAAAATCAGAGTAAAATACCATGCTACGTTGTTATCGACTCGTTGATTCTAACGATAAGAGCAACGAAACCATGACGTTGAGCAAACTTTTAAAATAATTTTTAACTTGAATGAATATAAATTAACTCGATACAACAAATTCTATATATTCTATTGTACACGATATAATGAAACAATAATAAAGCCTACTAGTCTTAATAAGAGTATAAATTAGATGGAGTATACGTACACGTACATTTATATATATATGTATTTCGAAACGATCAAAACCTTGATCGCGAGCATTAATGCGCGACATAATGCTAATACGCAGAGCACGTGGAAATTAATAGGGAAGCATGTATTTTTTTTTAACAATGTACAAACTATTTATGATAATACACTGCGACTTCGTAAGTTCTTCTATAAACATGTGGAATAGATACGTTCAAAAATAAGGATGAATCCGCTGTGATAAAAACTATTGCACCAAATTACGGTTGAACGTTCTCTTAAAATGCAATCTTAGTGCGTTATGACGATAAATGTAAGTTCCTTTACCGCAACTACTTTTTTTAGTAGCTACAGTAGAGATATCAATGTTCTTTTGTACATCGTTCCGATGTAATTACAGTGAATTTTATTCAGGCACAAGTTATGCATATTTATACTAAGTGAAAGAATATCGGTAGAACTCAAGCAATAATTTCTATTTCATGGACGTTTCATGATTTTTAATTAATACGTATTATTTTCATATAACTTGTACCTGTTTTTCAATTGAATGTTAAGAAGTCAATGGCGAGAAATTAAACAATTTTGATGACGAGTTGCCTTCCCAGTTACTTATATGAAACTATAATATTAAATAATTAGAAATACGATAAACAGAACGACTAGGAGCTATAACGACTTATTTGTGAATTTCCCCACTGCTTTAACAAATTTTTAGTAAACTTTTCTTAAAACGTTCCATAATTTATATTCTTATACCAATTATTAGTATTATTATTATTACTATTTAATTCAATTTTATAGTTTAAAATAAGTGTTAATATTGTACAGACTATTTTTCATTTTGCCCTTCTGTAACAGAAATAATTCGTTCGTATCCACTGTATTATTCGTATGCATTTTAATATCATTAACATTACTTCTTTGTATGTATTGTAATTCAAAATAATAATTCGTTGTAATAAATTCATAACATAGTCTACCGTTTCGTACTTTGGTCATTTTTTAAAACGTGATTGCACAAAGTAAGGAATATTAAAAAATAGACTGATATATATTAGATTCTTAATAAGTTATCCTGTTATTCCTTTTTTTTCTGCCGAGAAAAATATTTGCAAGTAAAATATATTTTAGTGATTTTATAAATGGACTATTTCGGAATTGTAGAATGTTTAAATGTTATAGAACTTTTTGTACAAGAAGCAAATTGTTATTTTATGATTACAAACGCAGGCTTTGGATAACGAATCTTCACACTGTAATGTGGTAATAATAGGGTTCTCTTATATCTTACGATTTGATTAGTTTTGTTAATTTTAAATTAACGTGTTTGGAAGTTCACTGAAGAAGCGCGGAAATATCCCAAATTTTGATGAGACGATCCTGACCGATAGTCAATAATCTTCGTCTGGATGCATCCAAATCCATTCCAACAACGTTATGTTTTGCATCGTGGAAAGATGCTAAAGGAGTTTGGCTACGCAACAAATATATTTAATAAACGAATGCTTTATACATTTAAATTTTTTGAAGCGATGAAACTTCATCTACTTACTTTGCTGCTTTGAGCTGAATGTAACACGGATCACACACCCTAACTTCAAATTCAAAACCCATCGCTGGTATCGGTATCCGTTGAGATGTACATCGTGCGCACAACGCGCGACCACAATGACGACAATGATGTTGCCTCAAACCAAGTTGTCGTTGATCCATCATTGCTTTAATATTCCAAAAAAATGGCCTTCCACAAGCCTAAATTTAATACAGTATCCATGTTGAATGAATGAAAATAACAATTACTAGAGTAGCTCTTATTTTATAACTATATGTATACCTGACATGTATCTGATTCTACCCATGCTGCAGTTTCTTTCCTATTTGCAGCCATATCCCAGCATACTATCACCCCATCTTCTCCTCCAGACAATAATATGCGTTCGGCGCTCGCGTAGCATAATGCTGTTACTTTGTTACTGCAATGTTATAAAAAAAAAATTACAAGATATCAAATTTATTTAGCACAATTTATTAACGAACAGGGCAACTCACTGATGTCCTTGAAGTTCATATGCTGTACCCTGACGTCCACCAATGTCCCATACTATGATACTTTGGTCAAAACTACCAGAAAATAGAAGCTGTTTTTCAAAATCCCATGCTAATGTATGAATACTACCTGTATGTGCTTTTAATGTAGTGATTAATGTAACGCCATTAGTATCTAACTTTAACATTGCTATTTGTCCAGAATAATCGCCGATAAAAGCATGTTTTGATTGCGCGTCAAATCTAAGCAAGTTAAGGCAATTTTTAATTTCAAATGGAAACCATTATAAATAAATTACATGTTTTCGATAAGTAAAAAGTATGTTTCATTTAACTTGTTGTGAAAAAGGATACTGCAAGGCAGTGTACCATGCATCTGTTTGATATGATCCCAATTTTTGTCCAGTTTCTGAACAATGTAATTGAAACATTTTATCTCGACCTATGCTTAGAACCCATTCACAATTTGGGGCAAATATAACACCTGTGACTCTTGCTTGATGCGCCGCGTATTCCCGCATAGCAGTCATTCGATTGTAATCTTGCTCCAAAATAAATTCCTGAAAGCAATACCTAACATATTTATCTTAAAATAAAAGAATCATTGATAATAATATAGAAAACTTTCATAATACACACGTTTATAGTACCATTTTCCAGACCAACAAATAATTGCCTAGTTTGGACACAATAATTCATGGACGTTGCACCAGCAGCCATATACTGACAAACGCTAGGCCAATATTGGCCTGAATCGCGTTTCAACCAAACTCTAACCGTTCTGTAAAAGTTAGAATAAAATGAATTACATAAACATGAATTTTTAATCATTTTCTTGTTAACATGAAATCAAAAAAGGTGTAAATGTCATATTGAAATAAATATATCCAAGAAAGAGTTTTATTTTCAATAAAATTATTTAATCTACCTGTCATCACAAACACTAATTACACCATCTTCCCGCGGTATAATGATAGCCGCATTGACATCATCGTTACATCCTTCCAATTTTGACAAAAGTATAGGTTTACGGCTTGTACTGAATTTATCATGATTCACTCCAGGAGCTGGTTTTATTTCTGCTGCCATTTCAACTTTTAAAACGTAGTATTCTAAGCAGACTTGTCATTTGACAGTTGTCAGACTTCGATGTTAAATCAAAGTTTATACACCTCACGAAGGCGGAAGGATGGACTTTTTAAGAGATTGTGGAGAACCTATCGGCGTTGTTCGTGCTATTCGTCACAAGTTTTCTTTCCCTTCCTTTTCAGTTCCTCTTTATCGACTGTAGACGTACAAGTATACGCTCGTTTAATGTTCGATTCGGGGTTCCACTTAAAACGTTAGAATTTCTAGGTAACGTGAATTAAACGCGCGTGAGTTAAGTCAACGTATACTTTAACTCGTAAATTCGTAAGACTATAAATCGTAGAGGGCACGACAAAACCTCTGATTTTTTGTACGATCAGTATTTTCAATACAAGGGACACGAAGTCTCATAAGATGATAGATCAGACTTTTTGTATCTTGTTTGTGATGTAGATGTCAAAATTTTCAGGATTCGTGCTTTTTTTTCTTTTAAATTATTAGCAGCATTTCCAACAAAATATAATAAAATCCGAGTACATTACAATAACACAATTTAATTTAGATTCAATTTCGTGACCAAAAATTGTATATAATACGTGTTCGAAATTTCCACTATTTATCGACACTTATTGTTGGCAAATATTATTCACTTATCAGTGAGATGGAGTATTACAAAGAAAATGATGGATGGAAATCTTTTCTATAGTTAGTTTATGTTACTAATTACTTCGTCGCAGTTTATGAAAGTATGGATGTTGTTTTTTTTATTTAAAATTATCAATATCGATGATAGTAATTGAGAAAATATTTCGTTGATGCAGTTATATCATTATGTCAGGAATGCAGGTAATAAATAAAAAAAACAATAAATGTAATTCTGAAATAATACCAAAGTTTTGTGACTATCAGGGCGATGCTAATAAAGATAATAATCTAAGAAGACAGGGGTCGTTTAGAAAATTACTACCTTTAAATACTAATGGAGATTCTCAATTGAGTATGTCCGTGAAAATGATCGATAGGCCGACAGTTTCGCAAACTAATAAGGAATATGCTATTTATTTGCAAGAGTACAATATTTTGTCAGAATAGTAAGATGTTTTCAGTAAACGATAAATATGTATCAATATCTAAATACTTTGATTAAATAAAAACAATATTTCTTTCCTTTATAGCAACATGTTATGCACGCAAGACCTAAAGGGTATCTATGTCATACCATCTGCTCAAAATTCTTTATGTAAGTAGAATGCGTAAATAAAAATTAATTTTTCATTTCAATACATTTTATAAAAAAGAGCAAGTACGCTTAAATTATTTAGACCAATTATCGATTGATTCTTAGGTCTCGCTTGTCCTGACTTCACCTTATATAATGGTTTCCATGTAAATATGTGCATGATTTATTGTTTGCCACATTTTTTTTATATTTAGGTTTGTAACAAGCATTTGTTAGATTATAATGAATTATTTTATGTTAGTATGGTTTGGCGTTCAATTTGTCCGACAAGGAATATATCAAGGAGGAATCTTTAGATTTAATATTATGCTACCTCAAAATTTTCCAGATGGAGGTTGCCCTGTAAGGCTTTATTTTTTAACGTATCATAGTTTGACTATAGATGATTCTTTATGCTCTGTAACTCGACTAAATCTAATTGCTTTAATTAAATTTTAGAGAGTCACATTTCAAACTCCAGTTTTTCATCCTCTAATCGATCCTGAATCTGGAGAGTTGTGCACAACGTGGAGTTTTCCTGAATGGAGAAAAAGCAATAGAATTTGGCAACTGGTACAATTTATAACAAAAGTATTGACAAAAGTAGATATTAAAATGAATTCCATAAATCAAGAAGCATTCAATTTGTGAGTATAAAATTTATGATATGTCAGAGCATTGAAATTGAACATGGATATATGATACGTTAGTTACGTATTGCAGATTAGAAAATAATTTTGAAGCTTTTCGAGATCGTGTAAAAAAATGTGTGAGGGAAAGCTTGAACAAAGTTTATGATCCACCTCCAGTCGATGATCCACATTATATTACTTTTAGTCCATATGTCGGTGAACTTTATGATTCTATTAAACAAGAAATTTACCAGTCCAAGGTTAGATTTGTCTAATTGTGAATATTATTTATTCTGCAAAGAAATTAATAATATGCTATAATTTAGGACGAAGAAGAAAACAAAGCGTTGGGTTTGTCCTGGGTACAGCCAGGTTCCCTTCAACCATTTTCAAAACCTGAAGTAAGATAATAAATTTAGGTAATGAACTACTAAAGTAAATCCACACGTCCTTAGGATATAAAGAAAATACATTTTATGTATGCAGGAGATAAATTATAGTATATTTTTGTATTTTAGAAAAGTTACAAACTTTTAATTATTTTGCGATTAATATGTTTTTTTTATACACGTATATGTATGAAACTTTATAGTGAGCATGTATAATACTCTTGTATTTAGCTAAGTTAAAAATATAATCATTAATTTATTAGTTGTTATGCGTATATATATATATATATGTATTAATATGTGTGTGTGTATATATAGTACAAATATTTATTAAGACAAATGTTAAAGAGTAATGAAACGGCGATGCGAAATATTAATATCATTTATGTGTTTTTCAATGGTTTATAAATTTCTTAAAATTACTTTAAAGATCGAGAACCAAAGACTGAAGATATCGCTTATTGAATGTTAAATTTAATACATTCATTACAAATTGGAGATATTTTATTTATAAAACGAAGTTTGAAAATAAAAGAAATTGAAAAATAATACGTGTATCTTACATTTTGTTGGAAGGTTATACAAATTCTACCATTTTGAATGTTGAATGTCCACATGATGTACGCATGCGTAAATATATTTTGCCATATACGCGTGTACATGTGAACATATTTGAATATAATTATTGATATTAACAATATCACTATTATCGTTATCGCCATTATTTAGTGCAAATATTAATTAAATGTATTTTTTTATTATAATTGAAAGTTATAAACCATTCCTTCAATCGAACACGTTACTCTAGCATCGATTATCATGCGTACTGGATTTTAGGCGTATACGACAAGTATTCATGAATCAGTATCCGTCAGAAGAAATGTATATTTCTTGATAAATACATATAAATACATACGGTAGAATATATTATAACCGATAGTGCCGGACATAGATGTTGTTTACACAGTGTTTCATTTTCTTTTGACATTTCGCATTATTTGCTTGTTATATTTAAAGATTATGAACTATAATTTTAACGTTTAATGATAAACTTAAAGTTGTAGGTAAGTAACTTGGTTCTACATTTAAATGAATTAATAAGATTACTTTTTGCAAATAATAAATGCGTAGCAAATATTAAATAAATGTAGCAGGCAACAAAAGGTATTAATTTTTGTCAAAAGCAGCATCAGGTTTTAAGTAATTTAACTTTCTTATACAAGGCTTTTGGTTACTTATTCGTAGGTTAAGGGCGGACTAACTCGCATGTAATTTATAAAAAAACTCGTATTGAACGTGCATATCTCGCTTAATTTGATAGGTTTAAGAGATTTAATTAACGTTTCACTTGTTTAGGAAACGATAAAATAGATGAGAAATTATTTATAATTTATTTATTCGTAATAAGGTCATATTGACAGAACACACATAAATTACATTCGTAACGTTTTACGCATAACATTGCTTCCGTAATTAGATTAAAAATTTGCATGTATCCAGCTGATTTATATGTTACATTTTTGTTTTAGGCAATATAAAAAATATCAATATGCAGACAATAAAATGTGTTGTAGTAGGGGACGGTGCTGTGGGTAAAACATGCCTTTTGATTTCGTATACTACAAACAAATTTCCATCGGAATATGTACCTACAGTATTTGACAATTACGCGGTAACAGTAATGATAGGAGGTGATCCATATACTTTAGGATTATTTGATACTGCTGGTAATGATCGATTTATATTTATGATAAGATTTGATCTTTCACGATAAGAACGAGGTTTAAAAGTCTTTTCTTTTGTTATAGGTCAGGAAGATTACGACAGGCTTAGACCTTTAAGCTACCCACAAACGGATGTATTTCTCGTATGTTTTTCAGTAGTATCACCATCTTCTTTTGAAAATGTTAAAGAAAAGGTTTGCATTAATTAATTTATTTAATTTAATTTGATAAGATTAGAAAAGAATATAAATTTTGTATATGCTATATCTTAGTGGGTACCTGAAATAACGCATCATTGTCAAAGGACTCCTTTTCTACTCGTTGGTACTCAAATTGATTTAAGAGACGATGTCGCGACCACCGAAAAATTGGCAAAAAATAAGCAAAAACCAATATCGGCGGAGCAGGGCGAGAAGCTGGCTAAAGAATTGAAAGCAGTAAAATATGTGGAATGTAGCGCGCTTACACAAGTAAGGACGCGTATCGAATATTACGTACATTATAACTTTTATTGATGCATATACATGTACATATAATGTTTTTAAAATCGTAGAAAGGCTTGAAGAATGTATTTGACGAAGCTATCTTGGCTGCACTGGAACCTCCAGAACCAGTAAAGAAGAGGAAGTGTATAATCCTGTAAAACGAGCATTATTTGGTGAAGGAAAAGGAGGGATGTATGTTCAAGATGGGAAAACAAAGCGACGAGTGAAATAGCGAGCGGCGAATTTTATACGTAGTATAAAGCACTGTTAAAAAATGAAAAAATATGTGCTTACATGGTTCCTTGTTGGGAAAACAAATATTAATCTATGGAAACTCGTTAAGAGCCGCTAATATTACAGCGCGACAATTCGAATCGTTATTCGTACGATTATATCGCGATCGCGACCACATTCCACAACGTAACATCTTTATCGGCTTTTCGAAATTTTTCTTAAGCGAATGCTGCACAAACATTTTTTAATTCGTTAAACTTTGTCTTGAAAATTTATACGTTGTTCTACGGCAAGCGTTGTTCTACAAATTTCATCAAACAAGTTTGTATCGTCTAAAATATTTTTGGCATTTTTATCGGTGCTATCGATTAATGATATTTTGCGTGTTCGATGCATCGTGATGGCAAAACGAACGAGTCATAGATTAAAATATGCGTCGAATAGACCAAGAATCAAAGTTTTCATGAAAGGAAAATCAGTGTTCGTTTTTAATATTAGCGATACCAGTATTAGAAACTTTACGAATGTGTAGACGTACGATACACGTAGGTACATTATATAGATACTTGTACTTTCGATTGCGGGATGAATTTGCAAATACTTTGAAACGTGCAACGATAATTTTTGAATTCTGTGCGGCAGCTACGTCAAGCAGAAAATTTTTGCAGAAGCACGTCGTTGTTTTCATAGACTTTTCACACCTGATTTTGTACATATCAGCGTTCGTTACGATACATACTGGTACGAGAAACGTAAAGGACTGATTGCGAGAAGCGAATGGTAATCACTGGCATTTATACCTTGTAAAATTCGATCGGTAAATTCGTTGGTAATATCGTTCGCGTTATACGCGAGTACGACGATCTTGCAAAAGCGATTGCAACGTTCGATGAGCAGTACACGCGATTAGGCAAGCGAAAGTAACGAACTGGTCGAAAGGAGCGTCGAGCTCGTTCTTCGTCGCTCGCGCGTTTATTCGCTATTTATTGAACGAACATGACTATTATTCGGTGAACAAAGAATCGATGCCTAAAGTTTTCTTTTTCATTATCTCTTTTTTCATAAACTTGAACGTCGCGTAAAGTGGATAACGAGAATTCTTAAAACGGTGGATAAGTTTTCGTTCGATCGTTTCGAAGAGAACTCGTTCGCTCGACATCGCGTAAAGAGACGAGCGAAAACGTCTAGCAGGATCGATTTTGACACGCGATATTCATTGACGAGAAGGTGGCATTTATTAACGCTATACGTGTCACGATACGTAGACGCAATCGCATTACAAAATATTCACATAAATATATTTATACTACGCATAAAGATGTTTTATTTCTTCGTTCCGACCTACCGTCTTCGTTCGAAAGAATTTCAATCGACATGGTTGGTTTCACGTTTGATCGTTCCGTGGCTTTTCTCGTTTAGAAAGTAATGGAGGTCCGGAAAGCGCACGGTACGCTCGGTATTCTTTGACTTGGAATCGGCACGTGCGAACAGAAATGTAGGGTGCAGAGAGACAGAAACGGGAGGTAGTCGTTGCGCGCGATGCAGTCGAGTATCGTCCACGTACATAGTTTGCCCACTGTGGTTCGTGCGAACCGTTCTCCCTTTTATTTTTCTTTTCCGTTTCTCTTTTCCTCTTTTCCTCTTACTCTCTTCTTTTTTTATTCGAGCGTGCTCTTTCTCTCGGTTTCTCTGTCCGATTCGGTCTTCCTATAGTCAGTTTCCTCGATTGCATTACCGGCGTAGCGTTGCGCCTTGTGGTTACTTCAATTAGGTGGATTCGTGGTTACGTATCGACGTACTGGAGCAACTTGAGCACGCCGACACAAAAGGTACACCAGTCACGGACTCATCACGGACGTGCCTTCGAGCTCCCTTGACATTATCGCTAATCACCTCGGATCGATTCTCGTATATAAGCGAGAAAGAGAGGCTCTAGCTATGCACCGGCCGTGCAATTTCCTCAATAATCTACCGCGATACCGGTACCGACCAATTATTTAACCAACGATTAGTTCGATTTGCAAACGAGTAACGGCCCGGTCATAACGACTCGATCGGAATTCGAAAAGTTTCGAGGGTCGACGGCGATCCCGAAGAGATCGTTCGAGTTTCGTCGGAATCGCGAAACGTTCGAGGAGCTATGCTCGC